AATAACTTTAAATGTAAATGGTTTAAATGCTCCAATAAAAAGACATAGGGTAACAGATTGGATAAGGAAACAAGACCCATACATCTGTTGTCTACAAGAAACCCACCTCAGAAAAAAAGATGCACACAGACTGAGGGTGAAGGGATGGAAAAAAGTTTTCCAGGCAAATGGAAATGAAAAAAAAGCTGGGGTAGCAATACTTATATCTGACAAATTAGATCTCAGATTGAAGGACATAATAAGAGATAATGAAGGCCACTTCATAATACTAAAGGGAACAATCCAACAAGAAGAAATTACCCTGGTAAATATATATGCACCCAATACAGGAGCAACCAAATACATAAAAAAACTGCTGGAGGACATTAAGGGAGAGATTCATAGCAATACAATCATAGTAGGAGATTTTAATACCCCTCTGTCACCCTTCGACAAATCATCTAAACAAAAAATCAGCAAAGAAATATCAATCCTAAATGACTCACTAGACCAGATGGAATTAATTGACATCTTCAGAACACTCCACCCCAAAGCCGCAGAATATACATTCTTCTCAAGTGCACATGGGACATTCTCAAAGATAGACCACATTTTGGGACATAGGCAAAGTCTCTTCAAATTTAAGAAGATAGAAATCGTATCAAGTATCTTCTCAGACCATAATGGCATAAAACTGGAAATTAACTACAATAAAAATAATCCAAAGAAATCAAACACATGGAGATTAAACAGCATGCTATTAAACAAGGACTGGGTTACCAGAGAAATCAAGGAAGAAATTAAAAACATCCTGGCAACAAATGACAATGAAAACACAACAATCCAAAATCTATGGGACACAGCAAAAGCAGTTTTGAGAGGGAAGTTCATATCCTTACAAGCCTATTGCAAAAAACTAGAAAAAAGGGTAACAGATGATCTAACTCTACAACTCAAAGAATTAGAAAAGGAGCAACAAGAAAAGCCCAGTGTAAGCAGAAGGAAGGAAATAACAAAAATCAGAGCACAGATAAACGACATAGAGACCAAAAAAACAATACATAAGATCAACAAAACCAAGAGCTGGTTTTTTGAAAGAATAAACAAGATAGATGAACCTCTAGCCAGGCTAACCAAGAAAAAAAGAGAGAGGACCCAAATAAACAAAATCAGAAATGAAAGAGGTGAAATAACAACAGACCCCACCGAAATACAACAGATTGTTACAAAATACTACGAACAACTCTATTCCAACAAACTGAACAACCTGGACGAAATGGACATATTCCTAGAAAAATACAACCTTCCAAAACTCAATCAGGAAGAATCTAAAAATCTCAATAGACCAGTGACTTGGGAAGAAATTGAAACAGTCATCAAAAAGCTTCCAGCAAACAAAAGCCCAGGGCCTGATGGCTTCACAGGAGAGTTTTACCAAACATTCAAGGAAGAACTAAAACCTTTCCTCCTCAGACTATTCCAAAAAATCCAAGAGGAAGGAACACTTCCAAACTCCTTCTATGAAGCCAGCATCACCCTAATACCAAAACCAGATAAAGACAACTCAATGAAAGAGAATTACAGGCCAATATCCCTCATGAACATAGATGCCAAAATCCTCAACAAAATTCTAGCAAATAGACTCCAGATGAACATCACAAAGATCATATACCATGACCAAGTAGGATTTATTCCAGGAATGCAAGGATGGTACAATACCCGCAAATCAATAAACGTGATACATCACATAAACAAACTGAAAGATAAAAATCATATAGTCATATCAATTGATGCAGAAAAAGCATTTGATAAAATCCAACACCCTTTCCTGATAAAAACTCTTAACAAGGTGGGAGTACAAGGATCATACCTCAACATAATAAAAGCTATATATGATAAACCCACAGCCAACATTATACTCAATGGGCAAAAACTAAAACCATTCCCTCTAAGAACAGGAACAAGACAGGGATGCCCACTCTCGCCACTCCTGTTTGACATAGTACTGGAAGTACTAGCCATTGCAATTAGACAAGAGGAGGAAATAAAAGGCATCCAAATTGGAAAAGAAGTAGTAAAGTTATCCTTATTTGCAGATGATATGATATTATACATAAAAAACCCAAAAGACTCCATTAAAAAACTAATTGACTTAATAAATGAATTTGGCAATGTAGCAGGATACAAAATTAATGCCAAGAAATCCACGGCATTTCTATACACCAACAGCGAAACTATAGAAACAGAGATTAAAAAAGCAATTCCATTTACCATCGCACCAAAAAAATTAAGATACCTAGGAATAAATTTAACTAAGGAAGTAAAGGACCTATATGCAGAAAACTACATGACACTGAAAAAAGAGATAGAGGAAGATGTAAAGAGATGGAAGAATATACCATGTTCATGGATCGGTAGAATCAACATCATCAAAATGTCCATACTTCCTAAAGCAATCTATAGGTTCAATGCACTCCCCATTAAAATACCAACGGCATATTTCACCGACCTAGAAAGAACTCTCCAAAAGTTCATTTGGAACAATAAAAGACCCCGAATAGCCACAGCAATCCTGAGAAAGAAGGGTAAAGTAGGAGGGATCTCAATACCAGACTTCAAACTGTATTACAAAGCCACTGTTCTCAAAACAGCCTGGTACTGGCACAAGAACAGACATATAGATCAATGGAATAGAATCGAGAACCCAGATATCAACCCAAATCACTATGCTCAATTAATATTTGACAAAGGAGGCACGAATATACAATGGAGTCAAGACAGTTTCTTCAATAAATGGTGTTGGGAAAATTGGGCAGACACATGCAAAAGAATGAAACTAGATCACCAACTTACACCATACACAAAAATAAACTCAAAATGGATACAGGACTTAAACATCAGACGGGAAACCATAAAAATACTAGAAGCATCCACGGGCAGCAAAATCTCAGACGTATGCCAAAAGAACTTCTTCACTGATACTGCCCCTAGGGCAATGGAAGCTAAAGAGAAAATAAACAAATGGGACTACATCAGAATAAAAAGTTTTTTTACAGCAAAAGAAACCATCAACAAAACAACAAGAAAGCCCACGGTATGGGAGAATATATTTGCAAATAATACCACGGATAAAGGTTTAATCTCCAACATCTACAGACAGCTGATACAACTAAATAAAAGGAAGATGAATGATCCAATTAAAAAATGGGCAATGGACCTAAATAGAATATTTACAAAAGAAGACAGAAAGAAGGCCAAAAGGCACATGAAAACATGCTCAAAGTCACTAATTATCCGAGAGATGCAAATCAAAACAACAATGCGGTACCATCTCACACCCGTCAGAATGGCCAACATCAACAAATCAACAAACGACAAGTGTTGGCGAGGTTGCGGAGAAAAAGGAACCCTCGTGCACTGCTGGTGGGAATGCAGACTGGTGCAACCACTGTGGAGAACAGTGTGGAGTTTCCTCAAAAAACTGAGAATGGAACTCCCATTTGACCCAGTAATCCCACTTCTAGGAATATATCCCAAGAAACTAGAAACACCAATCAGAAAGGATATATGCACCCCTATGTTCATAGCAGCACAATCTACAATAGCCAGAATCTGGAAACAGCCTAGGTGCCCGTCAGCTGATGATTGGATCCAAAAACTTTGGTACATCTACACAATGGAATACTATGCTGCCATAAAAAAGAAGGAATTCTCATCATTTGCAGCAACCTGGATGGAATTGGAGAACATCATGCTGAGTGAAATAAGCCAATCAATGAAAGAGAAACACCACATGACCCCACTCATTTGTGGATAATAAAGATCATTATAAACTGATGAACCAAAAGATAGATATAGAGACAGTAAAGCAACAAGCAGATTGTCAAATTACAACGGGGAGTGGAGGAGGGTCTGGGGGAGACAATAAATCAACCCAAGGACTTGTATACATGCATATAAGTACAACCAATGGACATAAAACTCTGGGGAGGGAGGGGATACGTGGGAGGGAAGGAGGGGGCAAAAAAAAATCAATAAAATATGTAAAATAAAAAAAAAAAATAAAATAAAAAAAAAAAAAAAAAAAAAAAAAAGAATGTGGAGGAACTGGAACTCTCATACACTGCATATGAAAATGTAAAATGGTCAGCCACTTTGGAAAACAAGTGGCTGTGACTCAAAAGGTTAAAGATATGATCCAGCAATTCCATTTGTAAGCATATTCCTAAGAGAATGAAAATATATGTTCACATAAAATCTTGGGCATGGATGTTTATAGCAGCATTATTAACAATGCCAGAAAGTGGTAACAGGAAGATCCATCAAACGATGAATACACAGAAAAATGTGGTCACTGCAGCAATAAACAGAAATGAAGTACTGATAATACATGTTATAAAATAGATGTATCTTAAAAACATTATGCTAAATAAAAGAGGCAGTCAGGAAGGACCACATATTGTGTGATCCCATTGACAGGAAATGTTCAAAATAGACAAACTATAGAGACTAAGAGTACAGTAGTGATTCCCTAGGGCTCGGAAGAAGAGAAAGTGGACAGACACCCTGCACAGGGTAGTTGCTAAAGGGCAAAGCGTTACTTTTTAGGGTGATGAAAATGTTCTAATATTGATTTGTGATCATTGAATAACTCTTTGAATATAGAAAAAGCCACTACATTGTGCATTTTAAATGAGTGAACTGCCTGGTATGTGCATTATATCTCAATAAAGCTGTTACCCGTTCCCCCCACCCCCCCATTTTTTTTTTTTTTTTTTTTTTTGGTGTTGGTGCCTGGGGACCTGTAATGAAATGGTATGCTTCTTATCAGGGTTCAAGATAGGAGAATTAACAGTATGTCCTTTTTATAGTAAAGTGATCAGAAAAAAAAAGCTGCTTTTTCACTGATATCAAGTCTATAAAATTAATAGGAAAATCTATATTTCACTGCTCAAAGCAACAAGTGATAAATATTTCCCCAACTTAGTTGATTTGTGGCCCCAAAACTGATTAAAAATTACCTTATGTTTTAATGTATTAATCTGAATATCCATTTCAATTTGATTTGGTTTTAAATCTCCAGGGAAACTAAGCTCTTCATTTTCATATTCATTTAACTTCCTTTTTGTAATTTTTAAGAGTTTCTTAAATCTGCAGAAATGTACAAAATAAGTCAAATTCTTTAAGGATACATATTTAATAATTATTTAAACAGATATTATGTTCTGTCATATAAAATCTATAAATTATGTTCTTTCATTTGTTCCAATCTAATATTGTTTGAAACTATACTACTAAATTATAATATTACATAAATAATATGAAAAAAATCATGACATATGATATAGAGTTAATATTGTAACTATATAGCATTCTTATAAATAAGTTATTAATATTAATTTTAGTGTATTAAATAAAATATTAACCTATTATTAAATATCAACTAGAAACCAGAAATCACTATCCAAGGTGAAATAGAAAAGCATAATTACATATGAATGTTTGAAAAGACATGAAAATAGCTTTTGATATCTACTGACAACAAGAAGAAACGAAGAAAAGTACCAACAAAAAACATCAAGGTCATTCAAAATAAAAAAGAGAAGCAGGAAAGAAAAATATTTGAAGTCTGAGTTGAAGGGAAATTTGGAAAGGGGCAGGGCTTTAGAAGAAAGGAAATCAGAGATAATATGTAACAGTCTCTTCAACAGACTTTTTTTAAATAAAGATTTTAAAAGCCATCAACTTTTTCTCATATATATATATATATATATATATATATATATATATATTATTGATTTCAAAAAGGGAGGGAGAGGGAGAGAGAGATAGAAACATCAATGATGAGAAAGAATCATTGATTGGCTGCTTCCTGCACACCCCACACTGGGGATTGAACATGCAATCAAACCATGACCTCCTGGTTCAAAGGTCGAGGCTCAATCACTGAGCAATACCAGCCAGGCTCAAGACTGTTTTAGGAAGAGATACTTGCTAGCAAAATCTTAACAAAATAAAAGATATGCAAAACAACTGTACAGAAAGACAGTTAAATGAGGAAAAACACTGATGAGAATGAGAGTAAATTGCTCAGCAAATAAACAGGAAGGAAGCCATATGGGGACTTCCCAAAAACTGGGAAAAACCATTATTATTAATATTATTGCTATTATTATTAATTTAATCTTCACTCAAGGATGTTTTTATTGATTTTTACAGAGAAAGAGGAAAAACAAGCAAGAGAAACATCCATTAGTTGCCTCCTATGTATATCCTGACTGGGAATTAAACCCACAATCTAGGCATGTGTCCTGACCCACAATCTAACCTGTAACTTTTGGTGCATGGGACAAAGCTCCTACTAACTGAGCACCTGGCCAGGGCCTATTTTTTTTTTTTTTTCATGAGTGATAAAAACATGATTATGCAACTTTTAAAAGTCATATATACATTTTTTGTATATGTGATATATTTTATCACTAAAAATGGAGAAACGTAAGCCAAATCAAGATGTTTGATGTTTTAAGCAATGACAGAGATAGTTTTTTAGATATTAAAATATTTGAATGCTGAAGGAAAGCACACTCCTAAACAAAGGAAAGATTACCACAGAGAGCAAAGATATCTTGCAGAAATCAAAATTCAAGGTAGACTTGAAAAGTGCGATTGACAGGATATGCAAAAGGTATCCTCATTACCTTTAGGAATCAGTAAAGACTAAATACAATATTTTGGCACTCAAAAAAATTTCAGATTGTGCTTTGAGTTTCTTAAGTAAATTTTTAAATAGGGTAATTTGTTTAATTATAAAAATTACAGAGAGAATATAAATTTGTATTTTGGATTTAATAGTAAAATGACAGTTGAATATTAATGAATGGTAGGAATGTTCTGAAATATTAAAATCTTACCTGGTAATCTCTTTTTCTAATTGATCATTTTTCTTTATTTCTTGATCCAAGCTATATTCCAAAGACTGTTTTAATTCAATATGTTTCTTTAACTGTTCCTTTTCATCCTGAGACTTGGAAAAACATTTTTGAAGAAAATTAACTTTTTTAAATCTAGATACTCACTCTTCTTTCTTAAAAATACGATTTCTCATGAGTTCATGAACAATATGTATAAACAGGTTTATAAACCTGATGCCAATAAGGCAGACTTAAAAAATAATGACTTCTTACTGCAACTTAAATTGACTTTATATATATATATATTTTTTTTTTGACTTCATATTTTCATCACTTTTTTTCTGGAATTTAAATTGCCAGTATTTGTAAATACAGACGTTTTTACATATAAAATACTAAGTCTTAAAAAAGATTTGACCTTTTAGTTTCTAAAGATGCTTAGAAACATTTACATCAATAGTTCAAGATATTCTAGGTTCTATTAAGTGCCATCTTACTAAGACAATCTTTGAAAAATTCCCATGCAGTTTCCATTTCTTTAAAATGACAATCTGACTTTAGGATGAGCTAAAGACTCTCATTCTCTGTAAACTTTCTTCCAGAGGTTTCAATTTCTCCTTTTCTATTAAACACATTTCTCTTTAAATAAAGTTTGTCTTGTCTATATTTTACAAAAACATAACTTTTTCTACCATCCTGTTCTTCCTTAAACTCTAACATTCTATAATGCAAGCTCCATCTTGCATTATAGAATGTTAAAATATATAATGCAAGCTTCATATATTTTTATTTATTTTTATTGATTTTTTACAGAGAGGAAGAGAGAGGGATAGAGAGTTAGAAACATCAATGAGAGAGAGTCATCAATCAGCTGCCTCTTACACACCCCCTACTGGGGATGTGCCCACAACCAAGGTACATGCCCTTGACTGGAATCGAACCTGGGAACTTTCAGTCCACAGGCTGATGCTCTAACCACTGAGCCAAACCAGTTTTGGCTGCATATTCATATTTTTAATACTTATTCTCTTCTTTTACATAAGAATACGATTTTCAATCCCATAATTGCACTAAAAAATTTAAGGGTCTTTTTCTTTAGTCCTGTATCTGCCTTACTTCTCAGGAGTAATTGATAATGATTACACACACGCTCTCTCTACTTCTCTAACCCCAATTTGTTTCTCAACTGTAACCCTGATGTATATAGGTCTTGACTCTATTACTTTTTTAAAAGTTCTCTCTGAGTTCTTAAACCACAACACTTCAAACCATATTCCCTAATAGGGGTGGAGGGGCAGATCGGGGGCAGGGCCAGAAAGGGTAGGCACTGAAGGTGCCAGCTGACCCTGCCCTCAATCATGTTCGGGGGTGGGAGGTGGGGAGTAGGGGGGTGATAAGGGACAGGGCCAGCTTGGGGAGGGGCCATAGGCAGTTGGCAAGGAGGTCCCACCACCTGATTGAATTCCCAGTTGCACTCCTGGTCGTGGGGACAATTTGCATATTAGCCTTTTATGATCCCTCTAGAGGCCCAGCACATGAAATTTGTGCATGGGGGTGAAGGGGAAGCCCTCAGCCCGGCCTGCACCCTCTCCAGTTCAGGATCCATCGAGGGATGTCCGACTTCCTCTCACAATCAGGGACTGCTGGCTCCTAATTGCTCACCTGCCTGCCTGCCTGATTGCCCCTAACTATCTCTGCCTGCCTGCCTGATCACCCCTAACTGCTCCCCTGCTAGTCTGATTGCCCTTAACTGCCTCTGCCTTGCCCTGCACCTGGGACCCAGGATTCCCTCCTCCAGCCTGTTGCAGGCACCTAGGACCTGGGCCTCCCTCCCTCTGGTCAGCCGCAGGCACCCAGGACATGCGCTGGCTTCGCCTGGGCCAGCCGCAGCTGCAGGGGACTGTGGGCAGGTGGTTTCACCCTGGTTGCAGCTGCAGGTGCCCAGGACCATGGGGTGGGCAGCTTGTCCCTCTCCTGGGCTGCAGGCACAGGTGCAGCCACTGGTGTCCAGGACCACAGTAATTCTCCCAGGCTGCAGCCTGGCTGGTCCCCATTACTCTCTCACAAGCTCATTTGTGCCTGGCTGGTCCCCATTTCTCCCTCCCCAATGTCGAGTATCTGAGCCATTATGGTGTGATAGCGTGACGATCATTTGCATATTAGCTCTTTATTATATAGGATCTATATTTATAAAACCCAAAGTGACTGGTCAACTGTTTGGTTGACCATTTGACTGGTTGCTATGATGCATACTGACCAATGGGTGCAGACAGTCAATGCAGGAGCTGCCCCCTGGTGGTCAGTGTACTCCCACAGTGGAAGTGCCACTCAGCAAGCTTACCAAATGGTGGCAGCAGCAGGCGCAACAGGTCCTGGATGAGTAGGAGTGGCACGGTGCCCAGGCCAGCTCGAGCTGCTCCCTACTTGGCACACTACTACATCCCTTGGGGGATGTAGGACTGCTGGTTTCAGCTTGATCTCCTGACATCCCCTGAAGGGTTCTGGGTTGCGAGAGGGTGCAAGCTAGGCTGAGGGACCCCACTGGTGCACAAATCTAGTATATAATAAAAGCCTAATATGCTAACTGTCCAGTCATTCGGTCATCCGTTCAACCAATCAAAATGCTAATGATATCCTAAGGCCACTCAACCACTAGCTATTATGTGTACTGACCACAAGGAGGCAGACGCTCCAACCAGAAGGTTAGCTTGCTGCTGGGGTCCAGCCAATCAGGACAGCAAGATGGGCCAGCCATGCCCTGGAGCCCTCCCACTGTCCCTTCCCAGCTGTCCAACCTCCCGCATCCCTCCCTGGCCCGACCATTCACTGGTGGGGTCCCTTGCCTGGCCTGTACCCTCTCTCAATCCAGGACTCCTTGAGGGATGTTGAAGAGCCGTTTTTGGCCTGATCCCATAGGCTAGGCCGAGGGACCCCACTGGTGTACACATTCATGCATTGGACCTCTAGAATAGGCTAATTTCCTATTCTATAGAGATCTGATCTATGGAAATCTTCTGAAATTCTTTTCACATGCATAATCAACTATATGGTTTGAAGGTTTAAGAAAACTAGAGCTATCTTCTTGCCAATTCAGACTCTTCACCTCAATATGGTATTGGTCAAATATCTTAACCCAGGTAGTCTCTGGCATGGGGATTCATGAAATGAGGTGAGAACCTTTCAAAAAAGTTAGGTCTATTGATTAAATTGGTTGAAATGTTTACTCTATAAATTTTTTATTCACTGCCAAAACCAATTTGGTTCAGTGGATAGAGCGTCAGCCTGCGGACTGAAAGATCTCAGGTTCGATTTTGGTCAAAGGTATGTACCATGGTTGCGGGCACATCCCCAGTATGGGGTGTGCAAGAGGCAACTGATCGATGATTCTCTCTCATTGATGTTTCTAACTCTCTATCCCTCTCTCTTCCTCTGCAAAAAAATCAATAAGATATATTTAAAAAACATTTTTTAAAATTTTTATTCACAGGGTAGGCCTTAAGGTGGCTAATAATTCCATGTCATAAACCTAACTGGAATCTACAAAAAAAATCTCTCATTATTTTTATATAAGCTTAATCAATTTTGAGTATTCTTACAAATTTTTCAATTTTTGATACCTTAAGAGATTTTTGTATGAAATTTTAAAGTAATAACTCCTGGCACTCTAATTCACAGAAAACTCCTTATTAATATATCATTTCACTTGTATGAAAAGTATGCTAATACAATATGACTTATTCAGATAAAGTCTAGAAAAAATAATTTTAAATGTTTCTTCAGCCATTAGAAGGACCAGTAAACACAATGTTCTAGTTCCCCTGATAGGTATATCTTGTATAATGAAACTGCATGAACCTAGCTATTGAGATTGAAAGAAACTAGCTAACAGGTGCATCTACTTGGCTGCTCCGACTTCAGGTTCACAGTACAATCTTCTGATCTTAAATTATAGGTAGGCTCTCCTACAGATGAAAGTATGAATGGCAGGAGAAACCTGTTGTGGTGGGTAGTGAGTTATGTAGTTTTCACCATTCATTAAAAAATTAAAGTACTGGATTATACACCCATCTTTTCTGAGATTGGATTGTTAAATCTCTGAAAGGTTGATTAGCACAAGTGAATAGAAAAGAAATAATCTGCAAATTTGCAGTGCTAGAAGTAATATGTTGCTATGTATGGCCCTGATTGAGCAGCCTTTCCTACTTTTCATTGGCATCTGTTTTTCAAAATCCAACAAAGGGCCCAGCTAGTGTGGCTCAGTGGTTGAGTGTCTACCTGTGAACCATGAGATCGCAGTCCAAGGCACATGCCCGGGTTGCAAGCTTGATCCCCAGTGTGGGGCATGCATAAAACAGCCAATCAATGATTATCTCTCATTTTTGATGATTCTATTGCTCTCTCCCTCTTCCTTCCTCTCTGAAATCAATAAAAAAATATATATTTTTAAAAACTGGAAAAATCCAGCAAAGGGAAAAAATATACTCCTTTCAAAAAGCACTTGCATAATGACCTAGTATTCATTCTTGATGAAGAGAACAAATTAGAACATTAAAAGTAATTCATTTACAAAACCTCACCAAAGGGCTTATATTACAAGAGAAATTCAGAATTATAGGTTAAATCATTACTCAAATTTCTGGACTCAAATAAATATTTGTAATATCTATATCAGCATTATTAACAATAGACAGAAACTGAAAAAACCCATGTTGGACAAATGAATAAAGAAAATGTGATATATATCAAATATTGCTTCTAGACTATCACAATCTTTTTATTAAAATCTTACTAAAAACTAAAATCTAAAAACTATTAATTTTATGAACTCAGTAAATTTCCTCTATAAAGAGGAATTACATTACTAGAAGCAAGTATTACCATATGAATACAATAAATACTTTAATCAGTGAGACTTCCATGATGTCCAAAATATCTTATATACTACTACTAGAGAAATAAAAATTCATTTTTAGTATGTGGAAATTAAGAGATTAACTTACCGAATTGTTTCCTGACACGTTTGTCTGAAGCTGTTCAATTTTGTGTTCTTGCTTTTTTATTGTAACTTTTAACTTGGCATTTTCAATTTCAAGCCTAAAATGTATATTTTACAATAGTTATTCTCACACATAGTTATGAAAAATACCAAATAACTTTTGAAAAAAGACTTCTGAAGGTGCAATTACATAAAATGTTAAAATTTGAAAAGTAGATGATTTGGCAATTAGGCCATTTTTCTAGTTGTGTTTTGTGGATAATGTGCAAAATTTAGAGGTAATGTACACAAACCATGCATTTCAAAATAGCTCAAAGCTGAAATATTTATCCAGCTTAACATAGATGTTTTTCCTACAATAATTGATCTAATTCTGATATGATACTGCTCATCTGCTTTATAAATATCTTCTATGCTTTTTAAATTATACTTTTGCATGTGATCTTGCGTCTCCTCAGCACATCTTACAGCCGCAGTACATCGATCTTGTGCTTCTTGCAACTAAAATAAAGGGAAAAAAATGCTTTTAACTACTGACCGTGTAGTACAAATCTACCAGTTTTGTAATTAAAATTTTATTGCAACACAGCCACACTCTTTCATGTGCATTTTTTTATGGCTAGTTTGTGCCAAATAGCGATGCTGAGTTGTGACAACAGAGACCTCATGACCCACAAAGACTAAAATATTTACTACCTTGTCCTTTCCAGAAAAGTTCACAATCTCTCCTCTAGTACTAAAACAAAAACATTCAGGTTTTAAAATTATATGTATCAAATAAATATACAAATTTATAAATTGGTCAAATGGGTTAAAATAGAAAATTACCCTATGATAAACATTTATATTTTGTATTCCAAGTAGCACATCAACTATAATTTTAAATATTCACAAATGTGAACGGCCATGGCTATTCCAGTGCTTATGAGACTTATCGATACCATGCTGCTTTCATTGATACCTAGAAGCTTCATGAAATAGTTTGAGAGGCAGACTCTAAACAGGAGTCAGAATGCCTGTGTTTGCATCCAAAGTCCCCCAGTTATTAGCTATGTGAACTTGAGCAAATTACTTAAGTTTCCTGTGTCAGTTTCTTCATCTGTAAAATAAAGATAATAATGGCATTTACCTTACTAGGATATTGAAAAGATTAAACTTAAAACATACGTAAAATACTTAGAAGAATATGTGGCCCATGGCATATGCTAAGTAGATGATTTGGCAATTAGGCCATTTTTCTAGTTGTGTTTTGTGGATAATGTGGATCTGTAGTTAGCATTATTATTTTTGTTGCTATATTTTATGTCCTAATAAAATTATATAATTAGGCAAGTAGTATGCCAATGGAAGTGAGCTCTTGTAAAAGTTACTCTGAAATCATTCTTCATAGCTTTGATTGTGGCAGCCAATGGGGAGCAGGAGGCCCAGTACTTCAAAGAGTTTTCACCAATTCTACTAGGCAACAGTACTTTTCTGCTTATAATGATTTATAACATACTTCCTCTCTGCACTTATCAGTGGGCAATCATCTCAAGCTACAATGCACACAGTACCTCCTGGACTGAGTACATGACTTACAGGAGAAACCGCTAACATGGAGATAATTATATAATAAGGTGTGTTTTTTATTGCTAAATCCAAGTTCTCAAATCCATTCATTTCCAGGAACTGTTTATGTTGGGCTGCTTTAGTAAGTACTCTGATGAGTACATTAAGATAATATGGTATAGCATACCAGAAAAGCCATTCCAGAGTTTGCAAAGTGCTATATAAATCTGTAAATCTGGCTGCATAGTCAAGGAAGGCTGGTTTATATATATATATTTTCTTACAGTGAGGGTAAAAAAGATGAGCTTCTGATTAAATAATTTTCTATTATACTTATATTTAATTGCTTAAAATACATTAAAAATAAATGATTAATTATGTCAACATCTACAAGAAGAAAGTATGGTGTAGTATAAAGTATTTAATTTTAGCCAAAACCGGTTTGGCTCAGTGGATAGAACATCGGTCTGCAGACTGGAAGGTTCCAGGTTCGATTCCGGTCAAGGGCATGTACCTTGGTTGCAGACACATCCCCAGTGGGGGGTATGTAGGAGGTGGTTGATGGGTAATTCGCTCTCATCAATGTTTCTAACTCTCTATCCCTCTCTCTTCCTCTCTTTAAAAAGTCAATAAAATATATTTTTTAAAAAGTATTTAATTTTATCCTAACAATAGTTAAGCTAAAATATTTTCAAGTTACACAAGGATAGGAGTCATCATATCTAATAATATGCCCCAAAGACAAACTTATACTTAGAAAGACAAGATTATCTTTCATGAAAATAATTTAAAAAAATGTAAAACTGAGGGCCAAATTGTTGTGGACAGACAAGATGACAAGTGTTGAAAAGAATGAGGTCAGTGAGTGTTTGAACAGTCAGAGCAGGCTTCATGGAGAAGGAGAGATTGGGAGCCAGGTATGAATACATGCAGGATTAAGCAAGAAGAATAGAAACTGAAAAGACAGAGTGGATAACATGAGTAAAGGCCAAGAGATGCTGAAATCAGCCCAGTTCTCTCAGAGGAGAAAATCATGCCAGGAAAGAAAAACATGCTCACATAATAACTTGTACCCTATTGTACACAGGAGAATTATTAACAGCCAAAAAGTGAGAATAATACTAAGTTCCATCAACTCATGAATGGATAAGTGGTTGAGCCACACAATGAGGTATCATTCTGAGAAAAAAAGAAATACATAAAATAGTGATGTGACATAACATGGATGAACCTTTAAAATGTGACAGTAAATAAAAGAAGCCAGCCACAAAGGGCTGCAATTTGTGAGACTGCACATATATGAGATACACAGAATAGGCAAATCTAGAGAGACAGAAAGTAGACTGGTGGTTGCCTGGCGCAGGGCGAGATGAGAAGCTGGTAGTGACAGCTAAACAGTTTGGAGTTTGTTATTTTGGAATAATACAAATATTCTATAATTGACTGAGGTAATAGGCAGACAACTCTCTAAATATGTCAAAAATGTTGAAATGTACAATATAAATGAGCAAATTATATGATATATGAATTATATAAATATAAGTGTGTTTTTTAATCCAATGGTGGATCTAATTTTCATTTTCTTAATTGTCTTTTGTGGATGTATGTACACTATAATGATCTGAATATTTCCATGTTTTTATAATATTTCTAAGGGAGAGAAATGAAGGCTATGCCTACTACAACTGTTTTGTATAATGAATTTCCTATACAAGTTATTCTGAAATCTGTGATATGGATTCTATATCCATTCACCAAAGTGAAGATAAGAAATAAAACAATTTTCTGCAATATCCCATTAAATATTATCCTCTGATTTCACCTGGCTGTCTCATCATGATAATGGAGATATCACTAAAGTTATTTTTTAGTAGAAAAAACTCTCTTGACTTCCATGGAGAATGATGCATTTTTTCTCAACTTTCTTAAGGGTAAATATTATTAAGAAAAAAAATTTAAAATATAAGTGGCAGAATTAAAGCCAGGGTCTTAGAAATAAGCACATTATAAAGACAATAAAATTATAATTAATTACAATAAAAATACAAAAGAAAGCTGCATATGAAAAGTAGCAGCCTAAAACACTTTATTATTCGACCAGCTATGGACAGGCTAAATTTCATACATACCTGACTTCTGCTTTGATCTAGTTCCTTCTTTAACTCTTGTTTCTCTTCTTCTAAATTCACACGATAACGTGATGTGACCTCCAGTGAAGCCTCTGACATAGACTGTTTTTTCAGTGTATCAGCCAGTTCTTGTTGAAGTTGTCTCACAACTGCCTAGGTAAGATATGTCTGATTTTATAAATTACGTTATTATTAAATTATGTTAATAATAAATAACTTCACATATAAAATGAAGCAAAAGAAGATTTAGTTGTGAATACCTGAAACACAGAGTTTATTCTTGTTATTTTATTAATTATTGTTTTATTCTCTGTCTGAATAACTATAAATCTACCTTTGCCCAATTCTGTTTGTACTTTGTTAGAATCATATATTATTAGTATAATGTATAACTGAAAAAATATCACCACCTACATCCATTTGCCTTCTTTTTCTCATATGGACACATTCCTATTTGGTCAATCAGATTAAAGACAAAGAAAATGTAATCCTCTTGCCTAATCAGTATTAGGTTACTTAGACAATTGATTCAACTCCACTCTTAATTCCTCCCTCATGAATCTCAAAGCTTTACAATCTACTGATGTCTGAAAGAAAAATGGGTACATAGATGAATTGAGTGGTAGGAAATTCAATATTGCAGAACATCCTCTTTTTTCTTTTATCAGATGCTTCAAGTATTCAAGTAACTTTAGAGTTCTCTGCATGTTCAATCTCCTGCTCAAATTCTTCCAATCGTTTCCTATCTTAGAAGAAAAGTGAAGTCATCCCAGTGGCCTTGGCCTCCTCCCTGCTGCACATAAGTCCTGCCACCCTCACTAGTCTGAATAGAGAAGCAAAGCCAAATTCATAAATCACAGAAAGCTACAATTTTCTCTTTGGAGAAACTTATCTCCAAACAATAGTAATTTGGCCTTGAAATGAGAAATATGAGTAAATTACTTGTAAAAATATTCAAAGAAAATTGCAAATAGTAGTGAAAAGATTGATTCAAGTATAGTTTTGCTAAAACTCATCATACTTGACCCAAAATATGATTTAATTAAGTAGATGCTTCTAAAGAATTGAGAGGTCATAAGAATATATTACTTGAGACTAAAACACTACCAAATTTCATTCAAGTTGACATAAATATAAATAACATTATAACTACTAAAATGTATAAGAAGCCACTGAAGGAAAGATACTATGAGATACAACATCTACACTTCAGTTCATCTGGGAAATTTTTAATATTTATAACATTTTTAATATTCAGCTAGATTCAACAATTAGCCATCATCAAATATTACTTTGAATTTTTTTTTTTTAGGAAATTTGAAAAATATTTATCTTTCAGGATACTTACTTCTCTTTCCACTTTATCATTTTCATACTGACACATTCTTTCTTTTAAATGGTTACATTCATTGATTAACTCCTTATTTCTTTCATTCAGCAGAAGACCTTGCTTTTCACTTTCAGCTTGAAATATTTTTATGATATCCTGAAACTGATCTTGGATATTAATGACTGTCTTTTCTTTACTGTCAGCTTTGTTGTGAGCATCATCCAGTTGCTGTCGAAGCAACATATTTTCACTCTGTAGGTGAGATAACCTCTCCTCTAAGGATCCCTGCTTTCCAACATATTTATTCACTTTACCTTGTTCCTTTTGATACATGTGTTCAATTTCCTTCTTTTGACTCTGTGTTTGGCTTAGGTCTCTTTGTACACCTTCTAAAACCAATGTTCTTTCTCTGAGAGCATCTCTTGTGTGATGAAGCTCAATTTCTAGGCTATTGAATTTACTTTCTGCTTTAGAAAGTTGTTGAGAAAGAACTTCATTGCTATCTTTTAGGTTAGATATATCAAAATTCATTTTGTCCCGTAAACAAAACCATTCATCTCTTTCTCGCTGGAAAGCAAATTGTAGGTCTCTTTTAGATGTCTGACAGTGCTCATAATCCTGTATAGCAGTAGCCAGTCTAGACTGGTATGATTCAACTTCTGCTTCCAGTCTTTCTCTGTTTTGTTTTTCATTCTCCAGTTTAGAGTTTAGCATTTTATTCTCAGCTGTCAGAACATCAAGCTGTTCATTATGTTGAAATATTGTTTTTGTTAATGTTTCCTCATTCAGTTTTATTGTCTTCTGAAGATGGTCATTCTTTTCTTTGACAATTGCAATGTCCTCAAAATATTTCTTTTCCATTTCCTGGTTTTGATTTTTTACCGTGTCTATTTCCAGTCTTAGCTTGGTAATTTCATCCTGAAACATGTGATTTTCATGCAACAAAGTTTTTTCTTTTTCATAACTATTGGAAACCTAAGTAAAACAAATAAGACTTTAACTAACACTCATTGAAATGACATATCATGATATCTTCTGAAATTAAAGGATAATCTATATGTTTATATAATAAAAAAGGTGGCAATAAAAGATATCCCACTAGAAAAAAATGGAGTTGGATCCAAACCTTCAAATTTATACAATTCTCTAAAGTCCTTATATTAAAACTTAATATAAAATGATGAAACCATGAAAGTGAGAAAGGAATCATAAGAGAATTTTTAAGAGTCTCAAAATTAGAAAGGCCTTTCTCTGAATTATCACAAATGCAGAAGGCATAAAATAAAAGATTAGTAAATCTGATCACATTTAAAAATTGAGTGTACGGTCTCAGCCCTGGCAGTGTGGCTCAGCTGGTAGGAGCATCATACCATGGACCAAAGGGTCTCAGGTTTGATCCCCAGTCAGGCTTTGTGCAGGAAACAACCAATCGATGTTTCTCTTCACATTTATGTTTCTCTCTCTCTCTCTTCCTTATTCTCTCTCTAAAACCTATTTTAAAAACTTAAACAAACAAGAAACAGAAAGAAAAGATTCATAGGATTTATATTAGCAGATAGAAATCTTTAAAATAAAAAAAATAAATATTGACTATACACTCTGAATATACAGCTATCCCACAGTAAGAATATTAACCCTGCATTTATTAGGACAGATTAAATTTTCTATAATTCTTTTTTTCCTGAGACTATCCCATAGATATACTACTTTTCTAATATTTTCATAGTCAGTTATAAGAATTACATCTATTAATAACTGATCATCTAGGCATTGTCCTAAGCACTTGTACATCTATCACTGAACTCATTCATTTATAGACAATCTTGAATGGAGAGGTTAAAAAAACAAGCAAATTTAGGATTTTGTGTATTGTGCACAAACAGAGATATGCTTTTAAAACCCTCTATTCTTTCCATTAGATACAGTATTGGTTTTTTAAATATATGCACACAAACTCATGCATAAGAGCATTTGAAAATTATTGAACAAAATACCTCAGAATTCATTTTCTTATGAGCCATTTCTATCTCCTTTTCTTTGCACAGGTGATTGGTCAGAATTCCATCTTGTAATATTCTGGCATTCTGTTCTCGAGATAGTTGCCTCTGAATGTCATTTCGCTCTTCTACAACCTAGAGACACATTTCATTAGTTTTTTTGCACTTAACTACCATTAAGAAGTTATAAGCTGAAGAGCAGAACCTTTACAAAACTTAAAAGAAGATAACCTTTTTAAACACAAGGATCTTAACTTCCATGAAAAAATCTCAAATCTTCACTTAAATCACAGCTAACTTGTTAAAGAGAAAAAAACAAAACAACAACAAAAACACACACACACACACACACAAAAAAAAAAAAAAAAAAAAAACAAAAAAAAAAAAAAAACACCAGTACTATGAAATGTCTTTATGAAACATTTGACTTTTATCACAGTCTCAAGGCAACTTAATCTGCGTGTTAAACATTTAAAAAGCCAAAATTAATATTTATGTTAATGGTTAAACTCAATTGATCTTCCATTTCTTCATTTAGAAAGAATAAACATAGCATTTGTTAGATGTTAAGAGTGGCAATAAATTGATAGTTTTAATTATGTGTTATAGTTCATATTTTAAGTGAGAAAACATTTTTGAATTGTTTTAAACTTAAATAATATAAATGAAACCAAAGGGATATTATAAATATTGATGAAATACTATAAGAAATAAGAAATTTTACTAAAGATAAATTCACCTGATTTAAATTCTTTCTTACAATTTTCAATTCCATCTCAAGTGTTCTAAGAGTTGTTTCAAGTTGTTGGTTCACTTCAACTTCTTTAATATATTGCTCTTCTTTATTTCTTAACTGCTCCCTAATTTTGTCATACAACAAATCAGAATTTCTTCTCTTCTCTTTTTCTTCTTTTAAGGTAAATCTGCAGTTAAATACACTTATCTTAAAATTCACTTTATTAGAAAATAAAATGTTCATTTTATAATATGGTTGTACATATGCTGGTTTATTATCCTAACTAAATTCCTATGTTCTTGCATTTTTTTCCCTTGCCCAGATCTAATTTTATTTCTCACTTAAATCTCTTCCAAAAGAAGAAAGGCAGCAATGAGAAAACATTCTTCTACTTAGTAAGCTTCAGTCAATAGTAACTCTGGTAAATAATATAGGAAAGGAAATTTGAAATTATTCAGTGAAGGTAAAGTTGAAATTATCCTATTTCCGCATTCATAATTACTCTTCTATTAGGAAAAATAACTTAGTTACTAACTAGAAAGAGCAGTTGTTTACAAACAAGTTTATAAATTCACTAAAAATAAAATTTCAGCTTGACAAAATATATAGGTACCCTTAAAATCATTTACAGTGAAAGCATCTGCAAATGTCTTTTACTGAAGACATATCCACTGACTACTGTCCTCTAAGACTAGTCTAGGGAGTCTTTATCTGTTACTCTATACTTCTTGTTTCTTTTTTTTTTGGAAGACTTTCTTCTTCATCAAGGATATACTTACTGATTTGAAAAAGAGGAGGGAGGGAGGGAGGGAGGGAGGGAGGGAGGGAGGGAGGGAGGGAGGGAGGGAGGGAGAGAGAGAGAGAGAAACATCATTGTGAAAAAGAACATTGATTGGTTACCCTGACTGGGGATCAAACCCACAACCTAGGTATGTGCCTTGACCAGGAATTGAACCCACAACCTTTAGGTGTATGGGACGATGCTCCAATTAACTGAGACACACCTTCTCTTGTCAGTCATTATTTACTTTATAGTTCACTTTAAAATCCTTATTAGGACAAAATAGAATTCATATTAAGTCAACAATAAAGAGTATGGACCTTTCAGTATGGACCTTTTAATTAACTTTATGTATAAAATGCTGAATAAACTAATCAGTCATCATTTTCTATTTTACTTTTCACTTCATGCATATATTAAAACTAAAACTGCATTAGTTGTTTTTTTTTTAATTTTCTGTCTTGATAAAAATGGTCATTTAATAACTCTGTTGGTATGAACTACCTTGATAACAATTTAGAAGTATGAAAAAAAATCCTTTTTAAAAGTTCTTATATGTAACCAAATAATAGTACTCTATTAAGTAATTTATTCAGAGTATATAATAAAAATGTAGAAATAAACATATATGAGACATTCATGGAAGCATTAATTATAATACACAATAATGAAAAACAACCAATGTTTAATTTATTAAATAAATAATAAAGTTTCCATTTGGTGAATTTCTATATGGTCATTCAAATGATATATAAAAATATACATGAACTTATTACTAGAAGTATGCATTATTAAATATTGCTATATTATTTCCAAAAATGTCATACTCCATACTACTAAAGAACTATTCTTGCCTATAAAATCTTAGAAGTTAAGAAGGCAGTTACAAAACTTTTCCTACATACATGTAGAATAAAAGTAAATATTCAAATATTTCTTTAAAACCAAATTATTCAATACCTCAAATTGCAGAGTTCTTGTTCCCATTCCACTTTTTGATGCTCTAATTGTGATTTCATTTCTTTTGTTTCTGATAGCTCCTTCTGTAGTCCACTAATCCTCTTTTCCATTTTTTTAATTTTCCCAGTAAGCAATTCACAGTGATTTTTTCTAAGTTCTATTAATCTTTCATATGAAAGAACTGCATCCTGGATTTTCAATAAGCTAATAGAATCTGCATAAAAAAGAAAACAAAAATATAGAAAAATATATGAATTATTTTTGTACATAAAGAACTGTGCCTATTCACATTCATTCATACATAGAAGGGCACCTATCATGTGGAAGACAAAATCTGCAGATAAAACAGACAAAACCCTGGCTCTTGTTTAGCTTAAAGTCTAGCAGTGGAGAAAGACAAATAAAACGATTATCATAAATCAGATACTTACATAGAAAACAGAGTTCTATGGTCACATAACAGAACTTGATCTAGACTGGGCCCAGGGAAGATTTTTGCCTCGAGGGGATGGCTACACTGACAAAGGCAGGATGAGCAGGAAGCAACAGACAAAGGAGGAAGGAGAGCATTCTAGACACTCTACAGCACCTGCAAAAGCTCTATGCAATCTGCTTCTAGCAAGATGGAGCAACAGGTAGTGATTTACCTGCCTGAAACAAGCCAAAACAAAACAAATAAAACACATCAAAAACTTATTTTCAAGACAAAAGACTTTAAGAAATGAAGGCAATGATTCCTGAAACAAATGAAGTGAGCCTAATGAATGTCCCAGCTCACTGCCTTGAGAGAATTTCCAGGCCACATCGCAGGGAGAGTCCACCAGACTCCTTGACTTAGATGACGAAGCTGAGGGTGTGGTAAAACAAAGAAGATGACAAGTCTGGACCCTGGGGAGGAATGAATAGAACAGAAAAACCCTTGACATCTGCAGAGGGTACTCAGCTGCATAATGCATAGTGCAGACTTGTGAGGAAATCACTTGAGACTGGGGAAAACAAACATGTGAAAAGAGTAGAGGAAACAGTGCCTAGTGTTCACTCAGCACCAGGAATAGTGTCTAATCCCATTAGCCAGGCTGAAAAACTCAAAACTCACAGGACAAGCATAGAGTAGGCAGGAAGGTCTCTCCTTAGTAGTGGGGAATAATTAGTCCTTAGCCAAGCATTGCCCTGATTTCACCTAACAAATCATAAGAGCAAGACCAAAAAGGATCAAACTTTTTAAGTAACTCAACTATATACCAAAACAAGCTAAAAATAATATATATAGGTAGAGGCATGAAACCTGTATTCTAAAACTCAAAGAGCACTTATAGAGATGTAAATAATAATGTCTGATATGGCATTTTAGAAATCACGAAATAAAAGAATAGTAACTTTCACGTGAGTGAATTGTGAGAAACCATAAATGGCTAGTGTAGCATAAAGGAGCAGAAGGAAGGGACAGAAAATATTTTAAGAAACAATGACCAAAAGCTTTCTAAACTTAATGAAAAATATAATCTCACAGATCCAGGACAAGTCTGGGTAGCAGAGAAAAAATGAAAATAAATTACTGTAATTTTATTATATTACTTATTAGAGGCTTGGTGTATGGAAATTCATGCACTAGAGGAAAATCCCTCAGCCTGGCCTGCCCCCTCTCACAGTCCGGGAGCCCTCAGGGGCAGGAGGGGACTGGCAATCAGGAGAAGGCAATGCCCCCATCACACCTCTGCTGCTCCTCAGCTGGCCCTGGTTATCTGAGCCTCGGACAGCCCTGGGCAGCTGGGCAACCGCCATCTGAGGCTTGATATTTGAGGGCGTGACAGTCTATTAGTATATTCCCTCCTTATTGGCTGTGGATGCCGCTATCTTTGTGATGGCATGAGGGTCAATTAGCATATTCCCTTTTTATTAGAGAGGATGATGTGCTATAATATTAACTGTAGAATGTGATAACTTATAATCATTTACCATAAACCAGTCCTACACCTATCATTAAAATAACAACAGTTATAGCTAATAAGCCAAAAGAAATACTATTAAATCATAAAAATTACTTGATGACTATAAAAGACAGAAAAATATGAAAACAGGAAAAAGATATAACCCAAAAAATCAAAGACATGAATGACAGATTAAAACCTATATATTAACAATCACATTAAATGAAAACTGTCTAAAAACCTCCATTAATAGACAGATTGTCCAACTGTATAAAAAAACAAGACCCAATTACATGATACTTGTCAGAAATGCACTTTAAATTTAAACATAAAGACACAATTTTTTTAAAAGCATAGAAATAAGATAACACTAACACCTGATAAAAGAAGGATAAGGTAAGTGACTATCTTAACATTAAAGTAGATTTCAGAGCAAAAAATAATATCAGGAATTAGCAAGGTCACTGCATAATGATATATTAATAAGCAGCATAACAATCCTAAATGATCATGCACTTAATAACAGTTTCAAAATAAATGAAGTACAAATGGATACAACTCAAAGAAAAATAGAAAAATTCACAATTATATTCTGAGATTCTAAAATAAAATTATTTATTGTTAACACTATTACAGATGATTCCAATTTGATCCACCATGGTACTGCTCTCCACCTAGCCTCCATACCCCCTCCCTGTGGCCACTGTTTGTGTTGATGGGCTATGCATATATGTTCTTTGGCTAATTTCTTTACCTTCTTTCATCCAATCTTCCCCACCCGACCTACCCTAACCGATGTCAGTCTGTTTAATGTGTCCATACTTTTGGTTCTATTTTGTTCATTAGTTTATTTTGTTCATTAGATTCCACATATAAATGACATATTTCCTAGATAAATACCTCAACAATATACGTATCCTCTGTGGTGCAGAACTAGACAAGTGGTGCATATATTTCTACATTATACAGAAAAAGGTGTTACATTTATACAATGATGTTACCTTTACAATCCATGCTAAGTTGTTCAATTAGCAACATGGAATTCTTATAATTGGAGTAAGGCAACTCGCAATGTTCTGAAATTGTTTCAGATGACTGAGATAAGTCATTGTGGTCATCCACGGAATCAATTTTCTCTTTAATCTACAAATAAATAAAACTGTTTTCAAAATGTTGATAAAATATACTAAGTGCATACTGTATGGATAAATATCCACCTTTTTATAAAAGCCAACACATAGGTATTCTTAAAAGAACTGATTGTTATCAAATAGGTACCTTTATCAATAACTAGTATTTTTAAATTACTTTTAAAATAAATGTCTCTACAACAAAGGAAGATTTTCTATTTTTCACTATATTTTTATAATGCATTTTTACTACAGATATTTTTGATAATTTCATTTTTAAAATACCTTGTTCTTTTCACTATATATTTCCTCTTCACTAGATGTTTGCTTTGCTGACCTAAAAAAAAGAAACATTTCTTTTTAGACAAATATTAAATACTTAAAATACAAGGAATAGCTAACCTATTATTTCTTATATATAAAATCTTTGAATTTGTAATTAACTTCTATAAGGGGATTAAACAATAAATAAAAATAATAACATTAAGGGACAAAGTAGATATATTAATAATATTAACACAATGTATTAAAATTAGATCAAGATGAAAGTCAGAGCAAAAGGAAAAACATAATGTTTATTAATAATATACCATGGTTTTTATTGTCATGTTCAATAAGAACAAGGTTTTACTGGCCCTGAGACCTATTTGGAAAGTATAACTTAAGTTCTTATGTGAAGGAAACCCTTTATAGTAGTCATGATATTAGCTTCTTGAGGACTTACTATGCATTACTATGAGCATTTTACATGTCTTATGAACATTTCAACCCTCAAAAAAACTATGGGAGGTAAGCAATATGTTAGATATTTTACAGAGGAAGAAATTGAGGCACAGAAAGGCTAAGTAACTTGCCAGAATCTACAAATCTAGTCAATAACAGAACCGAATTCAAACCCAGAAAATCTGGGTTAAAAACATGTGCTTCACAATATGCTTTGAAAGTAATACTTATTTTTAAGTATGCTTAAGTACTATATTTTTCCATATATAAGATGTCCCCTTGTATAAGATGCACCCCACTTTTCTAATCCAAAATTAAAAAAATCAATATTTTAAACATTTTGCTGATTTTCCTCTTAAGGCCTTCTTTTTTTTTTTTGGCATCTTAAGGAGTTGTTATTCCTGTTTTTTCCAATGTCTGATCATACACACAGTGGAAGGAGGTCCAAATTGTATTTCTGAAGTTCTATTTCCATACTCTCTTGCATAGTTGATTACATTCTGCTTGAATTTTGCAGAGTAAAACAATCGCTTACCAGTATTTATCTTTTTATTATTATTTTTTTATATCTTTATGGGCCAAAACCCTCTGATCCCTATTGCATCTGCACCCTCTCCACCTCTACCTCAATTGGGGCATCAGCTAATGTCAGTAATGATAAGGCTTGTGATTGCAAACAGGAGGAAGCCTATTTGACAAGGTATGGGCAGCTACGCACCCGGATAGCGCTCTCCTTGCCTGACTTCTGTGTATAAGATGCCCCTCAATTTTCAGTGTAACAATTTTAGGAAAATATATCACTTTATATAAGGAAAAATACGGTACTATGATGGCAAATGAGTTTATATTATTATTCAATTAATACTAGCTACAATTATAATTATTATTCAATAGCTACAATTATAAATAATTTCTAACTATTATACATATTTTTTAAATAAAAAGGAATTTATATCTGAGCCATATTGAAAATAGCTTTTCAATAAATTAAAGATTTTTTAAAAAATTGATTTTGAGAGAGAGGAAGAGAGAAGAATAGAGAGATAGAAATATCATCCATTGGCTGCCTTTTGCATACCCCCTACTGAAGATTGAACCCACAACCAAGGTATATGGCCTGACCTGGAATTAAACCAGTAACCTCTTGGTTCATGGGTCAATGTTCAACCACTGAGCCACACCAGCTGGTCAAACAAATTCACCATCAGGCATTCATTCATCCAATCAACAATTTATATATGTATTGGACATACACTTATTGAGAACATAGTATGTGTTAATGATACTGTTATAGAAAGCATGGTTTTTATATTTTAGAACTTTATAATCCCAAAGTGATAGATTGTTACTAGTAAAGGTTGGCATTTGGGGACAACCAGGCTGGCAGGAGGGGCAATAAGAGGCAATCAGGCTGGTGGGAGGAGGCAGTTAGGGGTGACCAGGCTGGTGTTAGAGGGGCCTTTAGGAATGACCAGGCCAGCAGGGAGGGGGTAATTGGGGGTTACTTGGCTGGTAGCAGAGGGCAGTTAGGGATGAACAGGTTGGCACATAGAGGCAGTGAGGGATGATCAGGCTGGTAGTGGTGGGGGACAGTTAGAGGCAACCAGGCAGGCAGCCAGGTGAGAGATTAGGAGCCAGCAGTCCAGGATTGTGAAAGGGATGTCCGACTGCCAGTTTAGGCCTGATGCCTGGGACATCCCCAGAGGGGTCCCAGATGAGCTGAGGGGACCCCCCTACCCATGATCAAATTTTATGCACCGGGCCTCTAGTCTTATATAAAAAGCAATTTTTTGACCTAACCAGTTTAGCTCAATGGATAGAGCATTGGCCTATGGACTGAAGGGTCCTGGGTTCAATTCCTATCAAGGGCACAAACCTTGGTTGCAGGCTCTTCCCTGACCTTGGCCTTCGTTAGGTTTGTGCAGAAGGCAACCAATCAATGTGTTTCTCTCACATTGATGTTTCTCTGTCTTTCCCTCTCTCTTCTATTCTCTCTAAAAATTAATGGGAAAATATTCTTGGGTGAGGATTAACAACAACAAAAAATACTTTAAAAAAACTATTTTTACCAACAGAAAAGTATATTTACCTTTCTTAAAATTGATTTTTAGGGAGGGAGGGAAAGAAAGAAAGAGAGAGAGAGAGAGAGAGAGAGAGAGAGAGAGAGAGAGAGAGAGAGACAGAGAGAGAGACAGAGATAGAAAGAAGAATACATAGATGTGAGAGAAAAACAGTGATTGGTTACCTGCTGCACTTGCCCTGATTAGGGATCAAATCTGCAACTAGGTATGTGCCCTGACTGGGCATCAAACCTACCACCTTTTGGTGTACCAGATGATACTCCAACCAACCAAACAACACCAGCCAGGGCTAGAATTACCTTTTTATGGAGCAAATGCATGCATAAGAACATCAGTATCATATACCTACAAAAAGACTTAAATTTTCTAAGAGATTCTTACTTTCAGAGTTGAGCCTGAGCCCGTAAGAGTATCAAAATAAAGCCAACAATACTTTAAGCTATGTATCCCTGATTGGTGTGATGCAGTTGGAGCATTGTCCTATGCACCAAAAGATTGTGTTTCGATTCCTGATTAGGGCACATCCTCAGGTTGCAGGTTTGATCCCTGGTCGGGGTGCATGTGGGAGGCAACTGATTGATGATTCTCTATCTATCTATCTATCTATCTATCTATCTATCTATCTATCTATCTATCTATCTATCTATCTATCTATCTATCTCTATCACCCTCTCTATTTTCTTCTCTCTCCCAAATCAATTTTAAAAAGACCAAAACACAATATTCTCAGGTGATGATTAAAATATCCTATATAATAAAAGGGTAATATGCAAATTGACCCTAAGGGTAGAATGACCAGGAACAACTGGTCACTATAATGTGCTTTTATATATATACTAGAGGCCAGGCTCACGAAATTCATTCATGGGTACGGTCCCTAAGCAGTTGAGTGGTTGACCTGTCACTTAGATGTTTATATATACATAGATACTAGAGGCTATTGCATGAAAATTTGTGTACTCAGGGAGTCTCTCAGCCCGGCCTGTGCCCTCTTGCAGTGTGGGACCACTTGGAGGATGTCTGACTGATGACTTAGGCCCACTACACGGGGAATTGGAATTAAGCTGACAGTCAGACATCCCTCTGGCAGCCGACTGCCTGATGACTGGTAGGGGTGGGGCCGACGAGGAGGTGGGAACAGCCAACCACTCATTCCCTTTCCCCAGCTATCAGGCACCAATCACCTGATGGCGAACAGGGAACTGGGGGTGGGTGGTGGCAGGGAGGCAGGGCCAGCTGCAGGCAGCTGTGGAAGATGGTCCTGATTGCAGGCCAGGCCTAGGAACTGTAACCACAAGCCAATTTCATGAGCTGGGCCTCTAGTGTATATATATAAAAGCCTAATATGGTTAATGTCCAACTATTTGACCAGTCACTATGACATGCACTGACCACCAGGAGGCAGACACTCCAACAGATAGGTTAGCTTCCTGCTGGAGTCTAGCTGATAGGGATTGGGTGAGACAGAGTGGACATGCCCTGGAACCCTCCCGTTGTTCCTGCCTGGCCAGCCAACCCCCTGTAGCCCCTCCCTGGCTGGCTGGATCCCATAGGCCCCAATCAGGACTGGGTGAATTAGGCTGGACATGCCCTGGTACCCTCCCGCAGATCCTCTCTGGCCCCAATCATGCACCAATGGGGCATCTCAGCCTGGCCTGCTCACTCTTCCAACCCAGGATCCTTTGGGGTATGTCGGAGAACTGGTTTCAGCCAATCCCCAAAGGCCAGGTCGAGGGGCTCCATTGGTGCATGAGTCTGTGCACTGGGCCTCTAGTATTTATATAAATGTCCTTGATACATATATGTATATTACTTATCCTTAATATGTCATATTATATCCTAATATATAAAAAGTCAGGGGCTGTCACGACCAAAACAACCAGATGGACAACTGAACACAGCTGCATGGGGTGACAAGGTTGGCAAGGTTAGTGAGGGATGACCAAATGACTGAACAGCAGGATGCATGGGGCAACCAGGCTGACAGGGAGGGAGTTAGGGGGTGACCAGGCCAGCGGGGGAGGGGGGGGGCATTTGGAGGTGACCAGGTTGGTAGGGCAGTGGGGAGGGGGTCAGTTGGGGGTGATCAGGCCAGCAGGGGAAGCAGTTAGGGGCAATTAGACAGCAGGCGGGTGAGAAGTTAGGAGCCAGTTGTCCAGGATTATGAGAGGGATTCCAGATTGGAGAGGGTGCAGGCTGGGATGAGGGGACGCCCCCCGTGCACAAATTTCATGCAACAGGCCTCCAGTATAATAAATAATGACCTGTTGTATGTCTTATATAATGTATTTTCTGGCGTATAAGATGACTTTTGAAACGGAAAAAAGTCAACCAAAAATCGGGGGCAAAAGACCAAAATTGCACAAAAATTACCTGCAGATCTTGACGGCAAAGTAAGTCTTTCTTTGAAGTGGGGAGTAGTCTTATACAGCGAATATAGGCCTAAACCTATGTTTTAACTGTAAAATTAGGGGGTCGTCTTATACGCCGGAAAATACGGTACATAGTAATCTGTATATATGAAAAGCTAAGCGACCATCTGACCCATTGATTGTCCGGTAGTTATGGTGCTCACTGACCATCAAGGGTAAGATGCTCAATGCAGGAGCTGCAAAGTGACAGCAACTTGGCAAAGTATCTCTTGCACTATGGGACCCCTCAGGGGATGTTGGGATAGCCAGTTTCTGCCCAATCTCTGCAGGCCAGGCCAAGGGATTCCTACCTGCTGGAGGGACCCCACTCACTCTGCAGACACCCTTTGAGCTGTGGCACTGTCCCAGGTGTGACTGCCCAGGGAAGGACTGTGGGAATTTGGCTCCAGGGCATATCTGGCTCATGGTGCCCAGTCCCGTCAGCCACCGACTAATTAATTTCCTTTCAATGTGCATGAATCCATGCACTGTGCCACTACTCCTATCTAATAAAAGTGTAATATGCAAATTAACCACCACTCTGCTATACCCACAAAGCATGCCCACCAGTCAATCAGGAGCGATTATGCAAATAAACCCAACTATGGCCACAGAGAGCAGGAGGGAGGTTTCCCCAGCGATGGAGGAAGCCAAGTTTTCCACCTGCCCTAGCCAACCTAGGCCTCCACTCAAAGCTACAAAGTTTTAATTATAGAAGATAAATAAATCCCAACAGAAATGGCTGCCACCACGGAGCAAGCAGAAGGCTTGGCTCCACTACAGGCTACAAAGTTTCAATTGTAGAATAAATAAACTCCAGATACCAGAGTCTCCACTTGGGTGGCTAGGGGGCATGGCCAACATGCAAACCACCACAGGCCCCTCACCCAGGCCACCCCATGTCCCAAGGGAACCACCACCCTGACCCGGGACACGCTTCAGGGCAAACCAGTCAGCTCTCACCCATGCACCAGGCCTCTATCCTATCTAATAAAAGAGTAATGTGCAGATTGACCATCACTCCAACACGCAGATATTGTCAAAAATCTTGCCCCCATGCGGACACAATAAGGCAACCACAAGATGGCCAGTAGAGGAGGGCAGTTGGGAGGGACCAGGCCTGCAAGGGAGGGCAGTTATGGGTGATCAGGCCAGCAGGGAGGGCAGTTGGGAGGGACCAGGACTGCAAAGGAGGGAAGTTGGGGGCGATGAAGCCTGCAGGGGAGGGCAGTTAGGGGTGACTAAGCCGGCAGAGGAGGGAAGTTGGGGGTAACCAGGCCTGCAGGGAAGGGCAGTTGGGAGGGATCCAGGCCTGCAGGGGAGAGCAGTTGGGGGGGAGGGGGACGAGGCCTGTAGGCAAGGGCAGTTAGGAGTGAGCAGGCCTACAGGGGAGGGCAGTTAGGGCAAACAGGCTGGCAGGGGAGCAGTTAGGCATTAATCAGTCTGGCAGGGGAGTGGTTAGGGGGTGACCAGGCTGGCAGGCAGAATGGTTAGGGGCAATCATGAAGGCAGGCAGGTGAGCGGTTGGGAGCCAGCAGTCCTGGATTGTGAGAGGGACTGCCCCCGAGGGGTCCCAGATTGGAGAGGGTGCAGCATGGGTTGAGGGACACCCTCCCATGCATGAATTTCATGCACAGGGCCTCTAATATATAAGAAATGTCCTTAGAATGTATGTGTATGTTTATATGACATGTTTTCCTGTAGAATCTAGTTCTAGAAGTGAAGCTGTTGGGATGAAGGGATGACACATTTGAAATTTTGAAACATGCTGCTAAATTTCCCTTCACGAAATATGTACCAATTTCATCTACCAACAGTGTGTGAGAATGCCTTTTTTCTTTCATTTGCCAAACATGGTTGTTTATATATATATTATTATGACTTTGAAAAATGGTAGTTCATTGTTAATTTGAATTTTTCTGATTACCAGGCAAGGTTGAATATCCCTAGTAGAAATACATAATTTATTGATCATGAATATTAGCTCAAATTAGGATTTGTTTTATAGGGAAATAATTACCTACTGTTAAATATTGCTATAGTCTTACCAATCAGTATCTTCATTCTCTATAGTAGGAAATTGCTGGTTATCAGTTTTTCCACTCTTTCTTTGTTGAATTAATCCATCATTGTCATCAGCATCAGCATTATATAAGTTTTCTGTAATGTCCATTACACAACTTCTGTGCATCTTTTGTTCTTTTTCAACCTTTAATGAAAGTTGGATATTAAGGACAATTGTTATCACTTTATTCATTAAAAAAAATTTGTTTAATTAATTTATTATTTGTCTTAATTTAACTGCCATAACTTATTAATAAACATATTCTTTGCTTATTTTAATTTTGTCATTATAGGTCTTTGAAATTTTTATAAATTCTGCTTTATTTCTGTTTCAGTAAAGAAGCAAAATTTCCAAGATTTCAAAAGGGCTTTCTTAACTTTGTGCTCTTACTCACATATGCTTTTTACTAATAGCCCCTCTATTCTCCTTGCATTTGTCTAGGAGAGACAGAGAAATAAAAAGACAAAGACACAAAATTTGTCCTCTTCTGTCTTTCCCACCTGGGTTTTGCACAACACAGCCAGATTTAGAAGATGTGACATTGTGCTTCAGTAACAAACAGGAAACTTTTGTCTTTTTGAATGAAGCTAATCTTTTCCTCATTGCCTTTTACAATTCTTTTTGCTTTTAGATTCTGGGGTTATCAAAACATGATGGTATTCAACATATGAACCAAAGTTTATCACATCACAGGAGCAGAGCAAATGTGATGAATTGTTAGATAATATAGAACCCTGGAAAATGAGTAATGCTCCTCAAATTTCACATTGAATAATCATAAAATGTTATAGCTAGAGGGCATGGGTATAGAAGTAATTATCTACTTAAGCAATGTTTGCTGATAATGTGAACAAAACAAAAAAAGGTTAAATAATATGCCCAAAGTTCCTAAAGATTACTTACCTAATATTTTATGGCACCAAAAGAGATGATACAATTTTTTTCATTTTTTTATGTTATGTGTCTATGAGTATTTTTATGATTATCTAACCACTATGTTGCATACCTGAAACTAATACAAAATAATAATGAATGTAAAGCCGGGAGCCGGGACCGGTTTGGCTCAGTGGATAGAGCGTCGGCCTGCGGACTGAAAGGTCCCGGGTTCGATTCCGGACAAAGGCATGTACCTTGGTTGCGGGCACATCCCCAGTGGGGGGTGTGCAAGAGGCAGCTGATTGATGATTCTCTCTTATCGATGTTTCTAACTCTCTATCCCTCTCCCTTCCTCTCTGTAAAAAAAAAAAAATCAATAAAATATATATTTTTTAAAATGAATGTAAACTATAATTGAAGTATAAAATAAAAAAAGAGTAAAAAAATTAAAAATAATAAAGAAAAATAACTGGAGAAAAGGCAAACTTTAAATTAGGAGCCAAAATCATTAAAATCAATCAAGCAAATTCCTAAATTTTAATTCAAATGATATACTATGATAATATATGCATTGATATGGATATTTGGTGCATCCAACTCTGGTATGTTCTAATATTCACTAATGAGAATGCATAAAAAATTTAATAATATTTTACTGATTTTCTACACTGAAATGAAATAAATTTAAGTTATTGTTTGTTCCCTAACAGCAAAAGGTTTGATCCAGAAAGGTGTGATTCCACTAATAGGCAGATGAGTTTATTTTATGACCCCATTCTCCACCTGAATGTAGTCCCTGAAGTCAATTACCGTGAGATCTCAAAGCAGAATATAGCTTTAACTTTGTCATTAGTGATTAGCAATATGACACTGCAAATTCTGAATCAATGACCATGATTATTCCTTTCACATGAATCCAACTCAATGGCTATCAGTTATATTGTTCATAATTTCAATTAGTATTTAATCATATGATTCAATAGCTGATGTTACCTTCTTTATCATGTAGGGAAGTAATATTTTTAGTTAGGATTGTTTGGTCTCAACTACGAAAATAAAGTTTAGCAGTTACTATAGATTCTAACACTATTTAAGTCTCATAACTAGTTCAAAACTTTTAAAAACTGAATATTCAACTCTGGTCTATTGACTCTAAAAGCCCAGCTTGAAAGGTAATTTCAGCTGGACTACATTACATTTCTAGATAAAACATAGAAAACAATATTATACTAGAAGTTTAAATTTTTACATACCTGTGGGTGGTTATTTTCACTTCCATTAAGCCTTTTTTGTTCTTCCTGTGATGTCATTTCTAAGTCTAGCTCTGCTAACAAATCTATATATTAGTTAAAATGAACTACTTAAACCAGTTAAATAAAAGCTATAATAATTATTTTAAAATGAAAAATACATTTTATCAATTAAGGGTTTTTTAAAATATTACTTATTTTTATTCACTCAGCAATTTCTATTGTATATTCTGTTTTCCATAAAAGCTATTTATTTTTTGTCAATAGTTAAGATTCTTTAGGGCATACAATTTTTGCTATTATAAAATTTTATGTCTAACAACTTATTTTAAGTTTAAATATGCATGACAAAACATGGGTTTAAAAAACCTTTTAATGAATGGTACTACTTCAAAAAATAAATTACAGCCCTAAGCCAGTTTGGCTCACTGATAGAACTTCAGCCTGTAAACTGAAGGTCCTGGATTCTATTCTGGTCAAGGGCACATATCTTGGTTGCAGACTCTTCCCTGGCCTGGGTCCTGGTCAGGGCTCCTATAGGAGGCAATCAATTGAGGTGTTTCTTTTACATCCATGTTTCTCTATGTCTTCCCCTCTCTCGTCTACTCTCTCTAAAAATCAATGGAAAAATATCCTCATGTGAATATTAAAAAATAAAAAGAAAGAAATTACATAATTACAACACTATGGTCTTTTCTATGTGCATTCATAAGCCCTAGATAAATTCAAATGAGAAATGAGATCCTTAAGTAACCTCATTGTTTTCGTGCAAAAATACAATCAGTCTAGGTCCACACTACATCCAATGAGTAAACAGTACATTGACACAGGAAATGAATATAACAAAAATATTTTCCTTTTATGTCAGATTTAAACTTTTAAAAACAAGTGAAAGCAAAAGGCAACAAATGTATAAATAAAGCTTTAAAATTATTTCATCACAAGGGTCCCTTTATCATTTAACATCCATGAACCTCATATATAATTTAAAACATTAAATTCCTTGAGTCCTTAAACACCCTGGTTCAGGGGCTCCAAGGGATCAAGACTATTTTCACAGTAATACTAAATATTTGCCGTTATCATTTTCATTTTCATTCTCTTGTAAGTATACAGTAGAGCTTTCCACAGACATGATATGTGACAACATCATAGCTCTAATGGTTAACAGAATTTTAATTGTATTTTAAAGTTTTCAGTTCAATAGGTACTTCCTACTTAAAAAAAATTCTTTGGAATTCTCAATAATTTTTAATAGTATAAAAGAATCCCATGGACACAAAGTTCCAGAATTACCATTTAAAAAGATTGTGTCTACCAAATATTCACTATGATTAACTACTTCCCCCATTTTTAATACTCAAAGATACCATAAACACACATACACACACACACACACACACACACACACACACACACACACACCCATACACACTATGTCTGCTAATCAGAACATCTGGTTGGTTAAAGATCCTGAGTACAACTCTGAGATAAAATAAAGCTAAAATACTATTGAGCAAAACCGGTTTGGCTCAGTGGATAGAGCGTCGGCCTGCAGACTGAAAGGTCCCAGGTTGGATTCCAGTCAAGGGTATGTACCTTGGTTGCGGGCACATCCTCAATAGGATATGTGTGAGAGGCAGCTGATTGATGATTCTCTCTCATCGATGTCTCTAACTCTCTCTCCCTCTCTCTTCCTCTCTGTAAAAAATAAAATATATTTTAAAAAAAACAACAGCACAATTAACATGTTAGTAAATGAAGCTTTACTCTAGATAAAGGTCAGAATTCAAATAAGTACCTTATAACAATGCGAAAATCTTAAAGTCAAAAATTAACTTCTGGAAATCCCTAATAAGTGTAGGAATTCTAAACTTAGAAATTTAGGTTACCAAAACAAATATAAAAACATCTTCCTTAAAGCTTAAAAAATTTTTTTCTTTTAAATTTCTCTTTTTCAAACGTAGGTACCAACAATGACATCTACATTACTTATGTCAAAACCTACAAAGAAACTTGCAAAGCAAAAAAAAGAATTAGGGCCCAGCCGATATGACTCAGTGGCTGAGTGTTGACCTATGAACCAGGAGGTCACGATTCGGTTCCAGTTCAGGGCACATGCCCAGATTTCGGGCTCATGGGCTCAATCCCCAGTAGGGAGGTGTGCAGGAGGCAGTTGATCAATGATTCTCTCTCATCATTGATGTTTCTATCTCTCTCTCCCTTTCCCTTCCTCTCTGAAATCAATAAAAAACATACATTTTTTTAAAAAGGGATTAGGAATAAAAAGACTATGAGCATATCAAGTATTTTCCTGATTCCTTTCTGGAGTTAAATATGACAGAATTCACCTGATTTTAATGCTTGTACATCCTTCATTCCTTCTCCTTTGTTGGAAACAGGATCTGTCACTACAAGGGTAGGCTGAATGGGTTTGAAATAAGATGATTACTAAATAATGTACTTTTCATACGATCTGTAGTTAATACTTAAATATAAAAATATAAAAGTTATTACCTTCAAGTGAGAATATTTTCCAGGAGAATCTAAGAGCAAGAGACATATACTCAATTACATGAAAATATGGAAGCCAATTATACATTCATGCAGAGTTAGTATAGAGTTGAATCCCATGCTTAACTTTGGACATGATTACATTGGGTGTTAGTGGGACTTTTTTGTGTGTTGTCTTTTTTTCCCCCCAGTGGGCAGGCAGATTAAGACAACAACTCTCCAGAAATATGAATCTACCATAAATACTGCAGAAAAAAACCAGAAATATAGGTTTAGCAAAACATGCGGTTGAGATTTCAAAAGTAAGATTATGTTTCAAAAGACTATAACTAAAGTAGAAGTATGGATATGCTAATGTGAACATAATGCTTGATGAGAGAAAAGTGATCTTTAATCAAAGGAACAAATCATGACCTTGACAGGATAAATGTGAAACAGAATGCAACAGCGTATCTTTAATGCAATATATCAGAATCACTTATACCATTATGCTACAGGTATTTATCATGTTCTTCAATCTGTCCTGTAATTTAGGAAGTACACAACTGTGATGACAGTCAGTTGCATGCATAATCCATTTATCAACAGAGAAAGTGTTATGAGTTGATCAGCTTGGATATACATTAATAGAATTAGTTAATAAAAATATTCATATTTTTCATACCAATGCAGGCTACTGGTATGCCTATATTTCTTGTATCCTCTACTTTAGCCATCTTAAAGCTTCTTGATCCACTCATACAAGAAGGTATATAAAGCACATCTAAGAAATAATGTAAAATAAGCTTTCAATTTTGAAATATGGTTAATAAAAATTAAAAGAATTTAATTGCCACAGAAATATTAGATGTTAAAATTTTTATTTCTAAATCTGTGTAATATATATTGAAAATAACAGTTGCAGCCCTTAGGGAATATACTCTACTTTATTTTCTTTACAAAATCAGTTTGGTATATTATGCTAGTCTTTAAATGAGTTTTATAAAACCTGAGTTACTATAAAAAAACAGCCAGTGGTTCTATATTCAAATCACTCTCACTGGAATAACAAATACTGATGTAACATATACCTTTGATGCCTGATACTCATGAGGAAGATAAATGAGGAGCTACAGTTTACCCCAATTCCAACACTCCCTGCTGCTTCCAGTATTCTCTGGAACAGCAATTATCTAATCTTCTGTTTCACTGCCAATATCCTAAAGCCATCTAACGTAAGGTCTCTTAATTTTCCTCAACTCTAAAATTACCTTAGCTAATGCCTTTCTTTCCTCCCCCTTCTCTTCACTATCCCCCTTTCCTCTTCAAAAGTAATTTCTAGATCTGTGGTCTTAATTCTTATCCTATTTCCATTCTTTTGTGAATTATTCCCACTTCTTCTTTCCTATTTAGCAGTAGTATCTTACATCTATAATTTCTACTTCTTCATCTCTTTGCTTCCCTTTGGCTGTAGACATGTTCAGAAATAAACACAAAATAATGCTTTTCATGAATCCTTTCATGTCTTAAACTACCTATCCAAAGACTCTTCTTCCAAATTTCTCTGAAGAGAAGTCTCATGCCTTCGACTGGGACACACATGGTCTGAGGACCAGCCATGTTGGCATCACCTGAGAGCTTTGAGAAATGCAAAATAGCAAGCCTGCTGCCATCATTTCTTCAAAGTCATAAACTTTCTACTGGACTTTTTATCAGGCTATAGCTTCCTTGATCTTCCCATAACTGACCCTGCTCTCTCCTTCTTTCCAATGCTCTTATTTTGTACTACATAACACTAACCTATGAGGTGGCAAAATTTTATGACTTCAAAAGCATAGGCATTTATAGCTGACAATAGATGCTTATGCTCATCCATGTAGATAAAATACAGCTCTACATGATCAGGTAACTTACCTCCCACTATATATACCTGCTCCTTTTCCCTTCATTTACTCATTGTCATTTCTGCCTTTCTCATTCTTCACTCCCTATTTGATTCTTCTCCTCTTCCTTATTTCCTGACTTTCCTCAGGTCTTAGAGTATCTTGAAATGGAACAAATAAGTTAGCTCCTAGAGTGGCACTCTCAATCTAATAAGATATTCAACTTTTCGCCTTTTCTCACTATGCATCTAACAGAGGATTTTCTTTGGCTATTAGAATATATAAATATTCATGTTTTAAATCAATATTCTGTCAAAAGACCTTTTTATAAAATACATTCTTACCTTCTACTTGTTCATTTAGTATATATTTTCCTCTTTGATCTGCAGCTTCAGATAAGTGATCCACATACTTCTGTGGAAGACTTGTAGAAAGACTCTGTAAAAATTTATATCAATGAGTTACATAATGATTTCTGAAGCCCTTTCTAAGAAAAATATCTAAATTTCTTACTTTAAAAGCAAATAGACTTCAAAATAAGAAGCATGTGTTGACCAAAACATTTAAATAGAAAACCTCATATATGCTCTCTGTATCAAGTTTTTATTTATCTTCATTTGGCTGCTGACTGTATATTGAGCATGGAAAGCTAGAGAAAATGCTTCAACAGACAAAATCTGATATCTATCCACATTTCAACAGAGCTAACTTCATAACACCTAATTCTATATTGCATTGCATTCCCCATCAAAATAAGAGGACATTTTGAAAAAATGTCCTTTTAAACAAATTATTTAATAAGTACACTTGCTATAAATTTAAAATGACAAATTTTTTTTTTAGTGTTAACAAAAGATTCTTGATCCTGGTCAGTGTGGTTCAGTGGTTGAGCATTGACCTATGAACCAGGAAGTCATGGTTTGATTCCTGATCAGGGAACATGCCCAGGTTTCGGGCTAGATCCCTGTAGGGGGCATGTGGGAGGCAGCTGATCAATGATTCTCTCTCACCACTGATGTTTCTCTCTCTCTCTTTCTTTCTCTCTCTCTCTCTCTCTCTCTGTCTCTCTCCCCCATCCTCTCTAAAATAAAAAAAAAGAAAAATAAAAAAAAATACTTCACGATAGGAAACATTGGAGTATGTTATATTGAATATAAACAGAAGACTGTAGAACTTGCTTCATTTAGGTACACTAAGGTTTAGAATAAAGTTATTATTTGGTAAATTTTTTATAGGAAAAATGGTTGAATAAAATGTCAAAGTAGTAAAAAACTTTTTTAAAAAAATTATGTTTAAATAATTGCAAAAAACTGTATTTACTATTATGCAACTCTTCAAAAAATTATAGTAAGCTTTATAACAGAAGAATAAGAACATTTATTCATTAACCACCTAAAGTGTACTAGACACTTATTATGCACATTTTGTTTCTTTTCTACGCACAATGATAATAAAAATGGCATGACGATGGTTAACCTGCTTCCTGATTCCTGTTCATTCCAAGATGTTAGAGTAAAATGATAATCAGATGTGATCTATTGTTCTCTCTGTCCAGTATGTCCTTCCCTAGATCTTTACATGACTGGCTCATTTACTTGGCAAACTTAGTCACTTTTAGGAAGATCTTTTCTTACCACCTAAATTCCATTCCCACTCCCATTCTAACTATAAACTCCCCCCATATTCTCTAACCTAACATTCTCCATTTTCTTTATATGAAGTACTTGTAGTGACTTATAATGAACTTTTGCTTACTTATTTTTCTACTCTTCCCAGTCACGATAGCCTAATCTCTCAACCAATATATTCAGTGTCTAACTGCCCAGCACATAGCTGTTATTCAATAACAGAAATTTACTTAAGGTCAAAACCTGCAAGATCTCATTAAGAAGGCCTCAAGTACCAAAGCAGTACACACCTATACTATAATGGAGGATAGCTCCATTAATAGTCTAAAAAAATTTATCCCCCAAATTAGAAATCCTCATACCCAAACTTTCCCATTTTTTTCTTGATACTACTGTCATTTTATTGCCCTTCAGGCTTATAAAAAGAATCCTTAGTATTTAGTAAGTCACTGTATACCACTGTGATCTTACATTTCCATAGCACCCTTTACAGTTTACAAAATGTTTTCATATTGTTACCACATTTGTTCATCACACATTCACGAAAGGTAGATACCACAGTGATATCTCAGTTCTCGAACCTAATTTGTTCCAGAAGATTGTTCGAGAAGTGATTTGTTAAAAAACCGAATCATTTTTTCCCATTAGAAATAATGTGAATTGAACTAATCCATTCCAAATCATTCCCTGCTTTAACCTTTCTTATATACAGTACATGTCTAATGTACTATTTAATCCATAAATAAACACTTATTTTCTTAAATTTATCAAACCACCCCCTCCTAGCCTTAAAGAAATTTTTCATACATCACTGGCTCTGAAATGCTATCACTTGTTAACTGCTTTTTCATTTATCCAATCAACAACAGCTTTTCTAACAATTCAGTTGCCTGCAATTATTATTTTGTGAGCACTTTCACACTGCTGGCAACACTGGCACTCTTGATGGCCTCTCTCTGTTTTTAAATTGTGCTGATCCTTGATTTTGCCACAACAAAAGCATTCTTTGTTTGTTGTGTGAGAGGTGCTTTCTGTCATGCTGAGGTATTAGCAGGAGAGGGTTGTCAGGTCAAAAAATGAAGTTTTGGTTGACAATGGAAACATTTTTTCCTGAGACTGGTCAAGAACCAAATTGTTCCAGATGGGAGAAATTCAAGAAATGAGGTTTGACTGTAGTACCGTTATTATGAATGACGTCACCAACATTCAAACAGGTTTTCCAAGATCCCATAGCTAGTCAAAGACTGTTCCATGACCTTAGTGTTTGTACTATTAGGCAACAGATGTATATATCCAAGAGATCACAGCTGTCACCTTAGATCAGCTTATCATGTTTTTATATCTATATTACTACACCAGAGGCCTGGTGCACAAAATTCATGCACTCAGGGGATGGGGGTTCCTCAGCCCGGCCTGCACCCTCTCGCGTTCTGGGAGACTCGGGGGATGTCCAGTTTATAGCTTAGGCCAGTTCCCTGTAAGCTGGCAATTGGACAACCTTAGTGCTGCCACAGAGGCGGGAGAAACTCCACCATTGCAGCTGTGCTTGCCAGCTGTGAGTCCAGATTCTGGCTGAGCGGCGCTCCCCGCTGTGGGAGTGCACTGACCACCAGGGGGCAGCACGTGCATTGAGTGTCTGCCCCCTGGTGGCCAGTGCATATCATAGGGGGCAGTTGAGTGGTCTTAGCATATCATTAGCATATTATGCTTTGATTGGTTGAGTGACAAACTGGATGACTGAACACTTAGCACATTAGGGTTTGTTATATAGAATGTATAACTGTTGTAAAGGCACTCAGTGCATGCTGTCTTAACCATGCAAAACAACTGTTACTTACCAAAACACCACTAAACCAAATTGTTATTATATTCCTACATGTATTACTTTTCACTATGCTTTTCTTTCTCTGGAAATGTTCCTTGCAGATCTACTTGACTGGTCGACTGTTCATTCAGTTACTTAGGCTTTTATATATATAGATAGTTAGAAAACATAAGAAAATAATTTTTTATGGGCAAATGTAGAAGTAAGAAATAAAGTTAAAGCATTCCTTTTATGTTTTAATAGCCTCAATGCTGATATTTAAAATGATAGATCAGCTTATCATGTTTTTATATCTATATTACTACACCAGAGGCCTGGTGCACAAAATTCATGCACTGATAATAATAATGATAGTACCTCAGAATCCCAAGGTGATTCTGTATCTTCGTCTTCTTCTAATCCTAATGCTGACATTTTATCTATAAAACATAGTCACAGATACATTAATGTTAACATTTTTGCTATGAATTTTAAATATATATATATATAGATATATATATATCTCCATTTATGAATATTTCAATAAAAAAATAGCAGAAAAGACTTTCAGAGGAACGAAGCATTTTTAGAAAGAAAAATATGATAGCAGTTGGGATATTTTTGAATAAAGATAGCAAAAAAATTCTTTTAAAAATGAATAACACTTGGATCTATTCAAATTAGATTTGTTTATATCAACATTTAAGAATTGGAAACAATTCATAGTCACTAACTTACCACTACTACTATTTTTGTGTTCTCCATAAACATAGGTCAAATTGTCATTATTTGTTTGGCTCTTTGGAGCAGTTTCAATAGTATCAATACCATTTTCTTTTTTTTTAATTGCCAGCTTTGTTGTGTCTTCCTATAAAAATGAACAAAAACCCAACTTTAAAAAGTGTCATATTCATTCACTTGCTCAGTCACTTGGTAAGACAACAAACATTTACTGTATCAATCATAGGCACTAATCCAGAAGCAATAAATATAAAAGATTTTGTCCTATATGCTAATAAGGGTAGAGATACATGGAAACAATAAAGAGAAAAGTATCATTTGCTGAAGTGAATACACTACAGTAAGGGCACAGAGGAGATAACAGTGGGTTGCACCTGGGAAGCTCAGGAAATGATAGAAATCCATCTTGAAAGATATACTAAGTGCAGTAGGAAGGCATGAAGGACATTCTAGAAGAGCAGCATGTGTAAAAGTATAAGGTCTGAGACAACTCAGTAAGTGAGGGTACCAAAGTAATGTGATAAAACTGGAATGGTGAAATGGAATGAAAAGAGAAAACTGGAGAATCAGAGCCTAATCAAAAAAGGGAAGTGTCATGCTTGCATATGAATTTTACCCTCAAGTAATGGAGAGACACTAAGTAAGAAGCTACATCATCACAAATATATTTTAGAGTAGTCACTCTGGTGTTAATATCCAAAATTTATAAATTATTTTATAACTCAACACCACCACAAATAATCTAATTAAAAATGGGCAGAAAACCTGAAGAGACTTTCTCCAAAGAGTAAATACAAATGGCAAACAGACATATAAGAAAATGCTCAATGTCACTAATCATCAGAGAAATGCAAATTAAGACCACAGTGAGAAATAACCTCATACCTTTCAGAATGGCCATCATTAATTAATCAACAAACAACAACTGTTGGTGAGGATGTGAAGAAAGAGACACTCATCACCCTGTTGTTGAGATTGCAAATTGGTACAGCCCACATGAAAAGCAGTATGGAATTTTCTCAAAAAAATTAAAAATAGAACTACTATATGACCTATCAATTCCATTACGAATATATTTGAGAAATCCAAAACACTAATTTGAAAAGATATATGCATTGCACCCCTCTGTTCAGTGCAATGTTTTTTACGATAGCCAAGATATGAAAGCAACTCAAGTACCCATCAACAGACTATTGGATTAAAAAGTTTTAGTAAATATTTACGGTGGAATATTACTCTGCCATAAAAAAGAATAAAATATTACCATTTGTGAAATGGATAAACCTATAGGGAGTTATGCTAAATGAAATTAGTCAAAGATAAATACCATATGATTTCATTAATATGTGGAATTTAAAAAATAAAATAAAGAAACAAAAAAATCAGAAACAGACTCACATATAGTAAACAAGCACTAAAGGGTTGACAAATGGGAATGAAGTGGAGGGGATAAGTGAAAGAAGTAAAGGGAACAGAAATTTACAAAACATAGTTAAGGGGATGTAAAGTTCAGCATAGGTACTAGTATTACAAGGGGGATAACTTTATAAATTATATAACTGTCAAACCACTATGCTATCCATTTTGCTGTTGTTGTTAATCCTCACCTCAGGACATTTTTTCCATTGTTTTTCAAAGTGAGTGGAAGGTAGGGAGAGAGAGAGGCAGAGAGAGAAACACTGATGTAAAAGAAACACATCAACTGGTTGCCTCCCACACGTGCCCCAACTGGGGACAGGGAGCAAACCCACAACCCAGGTACCTGCCCTTGTCTGGGAATCCAACCTTCAACACTTGGGACCAAGGGCCAATACTCTAACCACTTAGTCACACTGGACAGGGATATGCTGTACATTTGAAACAAATATTTAATAACACGAATTGCTAACTGTAATGTTAAAATTTTAAATAAAGAAAAAAACTTTAAAAAACAAATAAAACAACTTACCTTTGTAAAACCAATGACTGCTGAAGACATAGGAGGAGCTTTTAGAAGAGGTTCAAGTGATGAAAAGGCAGGTTGAGAAAAGCCCTGGATTTTTTCTGATGTTTTGGGAAAGGTTTCAACCACACCTTCATTTTCACTATGAAAATTATTGTCTTCATAGGAGGTCCTATTTTCTGATCTCACAGTGGCATATTTTGCTTCTACTATAGTAAAACAAAGTAAAGAATACATTAAAAAATCTATATCTTCAAATCAGTGAATAACACAAGAACAGTCTTCAAATAGCTTACTGTTTTTCTGGGATTGTTGAATAGCAGTCTTTAGCTTTGCTAAGCTTGGCTTCATGACATTCTAGGGGGAAAAAAATCATATCTTTTAGTATCAAATTTGATAACAATAATGTTAATATTCACAATATTAAAATTTGATAATAAAGATCTCACACAAATATGGAATCATTCAAATATAGAGTTGTATTCCAGTTCTGCCATTTACTAACCTACATCTTCTCATGGGATTAGGATTATGAGATGACATACCAAGCCCCAAAATGTTACCATTTTTACCTGTAAATAAAAATTATCCAAATGCTTTGATATCAATTAGATTATAAAATTTACCCCTAGGTAGTTTATAGGACTGTTGCAAAAAATTAGTATTAAGAAATGTAAATTATTTGTTGTATTTTGTAACTTATTTGCATGATTTATATTGATATGAATTATCTCTTGTGGGGAAAATATGAGAGTTTAGTTTTCAGTAATATCATGTTTAAATAGGTTGGAACTGCAAACAGTATAAAGCTTTTTCTTCTATTCTGTTTATCAAAAAGCTAAGAAGAAATGATTGTTTAATTTCAACTCCCTCCAGGAAAGAGAATAGAAAAGATTAAATCGGTGGAGCAGTGACTCATGACTGAGAATAGTAAATAGAAAGCCATGTCCAAATATGTTGACAATGGAGACAGAGATGGACTGAAAACACAGACTCTGAAGAAATGTTTTCTACAATTTTTTTCTTGTAGCTGGTGGTAAATGAGAAGAAAAAAAAAAAGGTGGAGAAGAGAAAGGAAAAAAATTATATATAATCAGTTAATCAAGTAGTAGAAGCTTAAGACAAGAAAAAAAAGCATAAATACAATATAATATGCAGAGAAAAATACATAGAATTTCACTACATATGAATATCTTTATAATCTCTGAGTAATACATTAATTAGTGTTATTAGGAACTTACTACGAACAAAAGCCTTTTTTATATTTCATTATATTACATTAAAGTACACAAAATTTTATAAAACTATATAAATATATTACGTATAAAATATATAAATTTTATAAAATAAATATATTACATAATATATATAAAATGCATAAATATAAAAAATACATAAAATAGAGGTTTTTGTTCAGAGTATAACCCTAATAAACTGATTTAAAGGAGAAATGTATGGCTTAAAAAGACATATTTAATGGAAGATGAGATGGGGCTAAGAAAAGGTTAAAACATTTTAGTCTAAAATCATAAATTGAAGGATACAAAAAAAATACTGTAACCCAGTATCTACATATCACAAAGTTCTCATGTCCTTATTTATAACATATTTCTTCAGCATAACTCAAATAGAACTTATACATCCTCAACATTAAAAAGGGCTATTATGGTTAAGCCATATTTCTAGAAATTAAATTAATTTAATTAGGATTTTTGATGTCTAATATATTACTTGCAACATTTCATTACACAGATCTCCATTTGTCTGTTCATTTACATACATTTAAAAATATTTTTAAAATGCTTCTTACATAAAGATCTTATAGGTGTTCCAGAATATGCACAATTATATTTCCTATTACTTTATAGAGATGCAGGGAATTTAAAATGAATATTTAAATAACTATAATAATAAAAATCTGAAACTTGAATTTTTAAAAGGTGATACAAGACTTTGGGTAACTATTTTTTTTTTTTTACTATAATACACAATTTTATATTCTTGTCTCCTGGTCAAGATGGTAGAGTAGATAATGCTGTGCTCAACTGATCCACAATTACATCAAAATAACAATTAAACTGTAAAACCACCACCCTTGAGATCCACCTGAAGACTAGCTGAGCAGAATTCTTATAACTAAGAATATCAAGAAGAAGCCAAGTTAAGGCTGGTAGGAGGGGCAAGACATACAATGGACTGGTCCTACATCCATGTTTGCCAGTTAAGAATTGTGATTGAGCCCAGAGCAGCAGTGTTGGGAAGAACAGTCCCCACAGCATCTGACTTTGAATATCAATGAGAATTCCATCCTGTGAGACTGAGGGCTGGTAGGAGGGGCTAGCGTTTCTCTTAGGGTCTACACACAAACTCACTCACTCACTGACACACTCACTTCGAGCTCCAGAGCTGGACAGCAGCTTGAAATGCATCAGGGACATAGGAGTAGGAACTAAATGGTCTGATTTCAGGGCAGGAGTGGAGGACAAGCTCTCTCCAACATTTTGTTCTTTTATTTACACCTCCCCACAAAAACAAAAACAAAAACAAAAAAAAAACTGGCAGGTGTAGGTGAACTCCCAATCTGGAATCTCCATCAAATTCCCCACACCTGGGTGATTTCCTGAGAACCCACTACAGCCAATTCATGCACAAGCCAGAATTTTTCTCTGTGGCTCTTATTCACAAGCTGCTGGCCTTGGCCCATGCTGTGGATTTCCCTAAAATCTCACAAAGGTCCAGATCATGGCATGCCCTGTAACTCTTGCAACCAGCCCTTAGTCCCAACAGTGGCAGCCAGATTTTGATCACAATATAGCTTCTCCCAGGAGCCTCCAAGCCAACCACAGATCACTTTGAAGATCCTACAGGGGTCCCCAAGCAAGCGATAAGCAGGAGCTGACAAGGTACTGCACTGGTACCCTTCCAAGAGGCCCCAGAACTGATACATCCAGTGACAAGCTTCAGACCACACTAGAGCACCACCCAATTAGCTCCACAAACCCAAAATATAGACTCAGCAGGCACCAGAGCCCACAGCAGTAAGTTTTACTCCATGAGGTAGATCCTCCAACACAACAGCTCATCAACTATAAGTCAGGTCCTGTTATCACAGAAGGTCAACCTGAGGTCCAGTTTCACCCACTGATGTGGCAATAGCAACCAAGGCTCAAGTACAACATTAAGGCACATACAACCCACATAAGGAACACCTCTAAAACATCCCTAAAGGTGATCAGGGAGACTATGCTATGCCACTGGGCCCCACAGAACACCAGCTACATAAGGTTACCCTGTCAAGACTGGGAGACTTAGAAACTCTACCTAATACATAGAAGAAAAACAACAACAACAACAACAGACAGGGAGTCAAAATAAGGAGACAAAGAAACACCTCAAATGAAAGAACAGGAAAAACATTTCAGAAAAAGAAATAAACAAAATGGAAGCAAACAATTTACTAAATAGAGAGCTTAAAACACTGGTTATAAAGATGTTCAATTGATTTGAAAGAAGAACAGATAAACCTAGTGAGAACTTCAAAAAAGATAGTAAACACACAAAAAAGACATAGAAACCATAAAAAAATAGATAAAACTGAAGAATACAATAATTGTAATGAAGAATACATTATATAAAATCAACAACTGATTAAATGATGCAGAGGATCAATTCAGTTTTTTGAAAGAAAAGGTAGTGAAAAATATCCAGGCAAAACAGAAAAAAAGAACATCCAATAAAAATGAGAATAGTTTAAGGCAGCGGTCACCAACCTTTCAGACCTCGCCAACCAGCATTTGGCAAACGCTACTCCAAAGATTTCCTTAAACCAACGGTCGCCACCTTTCAGACCTCGTGGACTACAAGTGGTCTGCGGACCACTGGATGGCGACGCTAGTTTAAGGGACCTCTGGGATGACATCAAGCATAAGAACAATAGCACCATATGGGTATAAGAAGGATGAGAGAGCAAAGAATTAAAAACCTATTTGAGGAAATAATAACTAAAACCTCTCTTTCCTGGCAAAGCAAAGTAGAACATAAGTCTAAGAAGCGTGGAGAGCCCAAAAAAAGATGAACCCAAAGAGACCCACATCTTAAAAGCAGCATAAAAAAATCAGTTAGTTGTATATAAGGGAGCTTCCATGAAAGACTGTCAGTGATCTCTCAACAGAAACTTTGCAAGCCAGAGGGACTGATACTATACATTCAAAGTAATGAAAAGCAAGGACCTATAACCAAGATTACTATCCTCATCAAGGATATCATTTAGAATCAAAGAAAAGATAAAGACACACACACAAAAAAATGAAGAGTTCATCATCACCAAACCAGTATTACCGTAAATGTTACAGGGACTTCTTAAAAAAGAAAGAATAATGAAAAAGTAATAACTACATACCTATCAATAATTATTTTAAATGTAAATGAATACTCCAATCAAAGAAGAGAGGATGGCTGAATAAATCAGAAAACAAGCCCCATTCATATGACATCAAACTAAAAAGTTTTGGCACAAAAAACAAAAAACCATCAACAGAAAGGAAGGAAGGAAGGAAGGAAGGAAGGAAGGAAGGAAGGAAGGAAGGAAGGAAGGAAGGAAGGAAGGAAGGAGAGAGGGAGAAAAAGAAAGAAATAGAAAGAAAGAAGGAAGGAAGGAAAGATAGAGGTAATTAATAAATGGGAGAAGATTTTTGCCAATGACACACCCAATAGGGGTTAATATCCAAAATATATAAGGAACTCATAAAACATAGTACCAAAAAGACAAACAATCCAATTAAAATATGGGCAGAAGACCTGAATAAGCATTTCTCCAAGGAGGGCATATAGATGCTCAATGCCACTAATCATCAGAGTGATAAAAAATTAAAATCAATTTGAGATATTACCTCATTCCTACCAGAATGTATATCATCAATAAATCAACAAACAAGTGCTAGTGAGGATGTGGAGGAATGGGAATCCTCATATACTGTTGGTGGGATTGCAAATTGCTACAGTCACTATGGAAAACAAAAAGAAGGTCCTCAAAAAAATTAAAAATAGAACTATCATATGATCCAGCAACCCCAACTTCTAGGTATTTATGCTAAGAAAGCCAAAACACTAACTCGAAAAGACATATGCATCCCTACGTTCATTGCAGAATCACTTAAAATAGCCAAGATATGTAAGCAACCATAGTGTCCACTGATAGATGATTAGATAAACAAGAAGTGAAACATACATACAATGGAATGTTACTTAGCCAAAAAAAGAATGGTATTTTACCATTTGCGATGACATGGATGGATCTAGAGAACATTGTGCTAAGTGACATGTCAAAAAGAGGAAGACAAATACCATATGATTTTACTTATATGTGAAATATACAGAACAAAGTAAAGGGATAAACAAAAAAGAAACAAAATAATAGACACAGAGAACAAATGGTAGCCAGATGGAAACAGAGGTTGGGTAAAATGGTGAAGGGATTAAGAAACACAAATTAGTAGTTACAAAATAGTCATGGAAATGTAAAATATAGCATAGTGAATACAGTCAATAATATTTTAACAACTTTGTATGGTATCAGAGGGATGCTATCCTTATCTGGGAGATCACTTCATAATTTCTATGAATATCTAACCACCATGCTATATACCTGAAACTAATATAATATTGAATGTTGATTGTAAATGAAATAAAAAACTTTAAAAAGCAACACCAACAACACATGTACTGAAATCTGAAATTTTACCATCTATAATAATAAAAGGGTAAATATGCTAATTAGACCAGACATCATTCCGGATGTCCTTCCTGATGAAGCCAGGGCCAGAGGAAGCCAGCCTGGGTCCCAGGTGCCAGAGGGAAGCTGGTGCCAGCAATTGGGGGAAGGAAGGTCTACACTTATGTGAATTTTCATGCATTGGGCCTCTAGTCCTATATAATAAAAGGCTAATACGCAAATTGTCCCCTTGACAGAGAGTTTGTCTGAGAATTCAACCAGGATTTGGACTGGGGGTGGGGCCAGCCCGCCCACCGCCCATGGCCCCGCCCTCTGGCTGATTCCACCCCAGATCGGGGATGGGGCTGGCTGGTAGGCCCCCACCTGTGCATAAGTTCATGCATCAGGCCTCTCCTATGGTTAAAAAGAACTTCTGCTTCTAGAACTGGTTATTATTTTAGGCAAAACATGTATTTTTCAATTAAATAAATAGTGTTAAATAGATTCTTAATGGAATGACTTAAAACACAGTAGAATCCATTTGTAATACAGTTTTTAAGAAAGAATTTAAATATGTAAGTTTACATATTTTATAATATTATTTCAGTTCAATGTGGAACCCAGGTTAGAAAAAAAAATAACTCTCTTAAGAATTATATGATACCAACATAAATATAGTCTAAGAAAAAAAAATAGATATTATATGATATAGTTTGGAATTGAGAAGCACCAGAAAGATTTCATGATTATTACAATAAGTAATTAGATCCATTTAAGAATTCATTTAGGCATATTATAAAAGTCATGTTGATATGACTAAAAAGTCACATTAAAAATTCTTATCCTTGACCAAATTTCATATCTCCTCTATTGTGGGAAACTTTTCCTCAAATATAATTTTTTATCAATTTTCTATCACTATATTATTTTCCATCCCCTAACTTCCATACTTAGTAAAGTAAATAAAAAATGCAGTGCATCATATTTCTATAAATATGGTTTTCTCTGACCAATTTTCCATTATAATCATAAAATAATGATAGGTAGACCACTATTAAATTTTAAGAATAAGTACTACACAAAACTAAATTCAGAGCAGCGGAAAATTAATTTTATGATAGAGCACTTCACCTTGGTATCAACATCGAAGTCTTCATCCTCTGATGTAGGCCATGAATCATCAATGCCATGTTTGCTGGAAATAACCAACAAAAATAAATGAGTTCATTTTTTTTAAAAGATCAACCAAAAAAATTGAGTGAAAGGTCAGCTATCTATCTGTGTATTAGATGAAGTTCCTTGATATAATTAAATTTTGGTCTGTTTTTTAAAAAGTTTTTGGTTAGCTATTTCTACCTCCACTACTCCTCCAGCCTATGAACCATTTAATAAAGGCACACTCTCTAAGTTCCCATAAAAAAGGGTGACAACAATATACTGGCAAAGCCTAAAGTTAACTTGTTTTCTCCTAAAGTCTGAATTGAAAATCCAATAATGGCTGACATAAGTTAAAAAATCTGATGACCTAATAAATCAATGTAGAAAATACACTGTTTCATCTCCATTGCCTGTGCTTGGTTCAAAAATTAATCTATATCAGTCAAAAATGGCAGTCTTGGTTATTTAGGATGAAAACCACCTAATAAGGGAACTCAATTTCTTCCTTTTACCCTAAAACAGTACAGGAAGTTCCTTGAAATATTTAAAAGTTAAATGTCCAAATGTTGAAGAAAAAACTTATTTGTTAGCCTTCCCACTCTCAGATCACTCTTCTAATCGTCCACAGGTTCCATGGCAGCCTCCAACCTCTAAATCTTCGGCCCCTGAAGGCACAGACTGCTGAAACAAGGATGGGCTCAAATGACCAAGAATAGGAGCTCTCTATTCCCCTGCTCCTGGAAAACAAACTAAATGGAGTTGCTAAATGATCCACTCATAACATAGGTGTGTCACCAACTACCCAACTCCATTACTGATTTGATAGCCAGTCCTCCTGCCCATCCCTCCATGCACATGGGAAAAGAAGCAGAGTGAGAAGACACCTGCCTTGGAACACAGATCTGTGCAGTTCAGCCTCTCTAGTTCCCTAGGACTCAAGGGGACCTAAATCCCACTCTGTAAGTCAGAATTCAGGTAGATGATACAGTCCTATTTACAATAAAAAGAATCTTTCCAGTTGGCTCAAATGATTTTAATATCTTTCTACAGAAACCTTGACTTTTGCTAGTTCCTCCAATTAAAGAAATAAAAGACCAGCAACTTCTTCAGGACTCCCTGGAATCCTTTATTTTATTTGTAAATATACTTTGTTAGTATTATAGATATCTCCCTTTTTCCCCTTTTACCCTTCTCCTCCCAACCTCTACCCATACCCTTCCCTGCCGCCAGGTTTTCACTATTATATTGCCCATGTCCATAGGCTAGGTATACTAGTGTAAGTATGTAAGTTCTTTGAATCCTTTATTTTAATTTCACTCCCTAGATAACTCCTAACATCCTGTGGTCTTCCTTGTTGTAATCTATCTTTAAATTGTCATAAACCCCAATATTCTGATCTCTTTTCCCTTATCTGATCTCTTATCTCTTTTCTAAAATCCAGAAACTTGCTGTTCCTCTTGAAACTTGGATTTACCTATTAATTTCATTCTTATCTTCCTCCACTGCAATCACTAAACCCATGTCCTACTTTTCTAGTATTAAAACACTTACCTACTGGATGATAAAAAAGAGTACTAAACTTAAAAACCTGAATTTACATCTCATGTCCACCACTTACCATATCCAAATAAGTCATTTTAATCTCTTTGAGTTTCAAGTTTTCCATGCAAGCAACCAGGTGGCCAGGATGTTAAAAACAGATTAAAATACGAAAGGGTGTTTTGATTAATTAATCGCTAAGATTCCTTAAACTCTTGAAATTCTATATGCTTTTGATTCTGCCTATAGAAAAATGAAGAACATGTAACTGACAGAAGTTGAGAAAAATATCAAGAACAGCAGAGAAGAAAATTTTAAAAGTCATGGAGGCGGGGAGTAAAAAAAAAAAAAAAGGGGACTCTAGGAAAAAACTTCATACAACTAGGCAAAGTTAATTGCCTGAAGGGAAAATCAGTCTAGGAAGTCAATGAGTAGAGAAATAAATTAGAAATAGCCTCTTAATGCTAAATACAATCGACATAACATGGTCCAGACATAGACATTCTTTACTTAGAGAAAAATAATTCATTTCAAGAAGAACAGATACGATTATACTTAAAAACACTTGCCTGATTATTCTGTAGGTAAAACCTTTGGTTCTGGCCATTTAGCTAACTTAGATATGCAATAAAATCTTTGATGGGTAAAACGAGGTACTATTAACACTGCAGTTGTCAAGTATAGTAAGCCAAATGCTTGGACTAATTGGGCTTCTTGGAAAACTCTAAATCAGAGTTAACACACAATTAGATTTTACTTTCTGAGTTATCTGATTAGCATCTATATCTTGATGCCAGTGCTACAGAGGAACTTATTAGTGTTTGTTGAGGGACAATAGACTAATTTGGGAGCCAAGCAGGTTGGTAGTCAAATCATGGATCAGTCATTTGCTAACTATGGAATTAATCAACCTCCCTGAACCACAATTGCCTCATTAATAAAAAGTAGGCTACAATAGCACAGCTACTTTGCAAAGCTATTGTGATGACTATATAACACATGTTAATTATATAATATAGTGTCTAGCCCAGGGTACAAAACTCCAAAAATGCTAGTTGCTCTTCACTGCATTCCCTTAGTTAATATATAATTTTTAAAAATCCTACCTCCTTAAAGAGTCTTCTTCAGAGCTCTCATCCGCTATTAAAGAAAAAAATAAAATACATTTAAAAAAAAAACAACAGAAAAACACAGGACTTTGAAAGTACCAAACTGATTCCCTGTGAGATCTTGTTAGAATCACACCTTAAGACTATACTAGAGTGAATATTAATAATACTATTGGTAGGCCATTAATATATTACTTCCTTTCCTTTGTATATCAAATGCAAGACAAAAGAAAAAAGAATGGGATCTATCATAATTTGATACCTACAAGTAAACTGCTATTTACAATGATCATAATCCTAACCAAACCCCATCAGATTGACAGAAAATGGTATAATTAGCAGAATCAGTATCATAAACTAACTTTGTCAAACTTAAATAGCATGGTTTTTCTCCACACCTTCCATTAAGAGTAGTTAGAAGAGAATGTACTTATTTTGCTATAGCACTATATAACTTTTCCAGCTCTTCGGTGAAGACTAGCCGGTTCATGATGAAACACTATCACAAAAAAGCTTGGTTGCCAGGCACTATATTTACAGCACAGCAAAATATAGAAAACAGACTCTTTATGGGCCTATTTCTAATTGCAAGATAGGAATGAAAGACACTGATTCCAGTTGTATGAAGTATAACTCCCTGAGATCATCTCCTTCCATTGCTAGAGTCTACCTAGACCCTCCTCACAGAGCAAGGTGGTCCAAACAGTTAGTGCTCTGCAGTAGTGCGTGAGGTCATTTTTCTCAAACCTCCCCATTATATGGCAAATACCTGTAGAAATCATGCTTTTTGAGCTTATATGGCATATGTCATCAGATCCTACGCTGATGAACAATAACAACAACAAACCCCAAAGATCAAAGAACATCTTGGATAACTATGTTCAATTACCTTGAAATTTAAAATTTTTAAACATTCAAAAAGATATACTCTCTATGATCCCAACTATATAACATTCAGGAAAAATGCAAAATTAAGAGAATGGTAAAAAGATCAGCGGTTTCCATGGTTTAAGGAGAAGGGAAGGATGAATAAGCACAGCACAGAAGATTTTTAGAGCAGTGAGATGACCCTGTAATGGGGAATATGTGTCATCACACATTTGTCAAAACCCATACAATGTACACCACCAAGAGTGAACCTAAGTGTAAACTATGGACTTTGGGTGATAATGGACTTTGGGTGATAATGATGAGTAACTATTTAGGCTGATGTGTGATACATGATGACAGTCAGAAAGTTATTTCACAGAATACCTGTCCTTAAATTAATTTTCCTTGGTACTTGTTTTAGAGATTCTTATAGATCTATATCCATTTGAATAAAGGCATGAAAGGGATAAATGAAACAATGATGGCAGAAACAAGCAATAATCCTATTTTAATCAGAATAAAGAATTCTAATGGTTGACAACATACTCTATGGTATGAAACTTTCTATGAAGAAAATGAAAACATCACATTGCCAATTTTCTCCAACTAAGCAGGGTTTAATTTCTTTTTATAATAGTTGTGAATCAATCAAATAACTGGGATAACCACAGAAAAACAATAATTACCATATATAGTATAATTGTATAGTAGTAATTAGTCTTTTATTTGTTCCTAATTTTTTCTTATTTTCTTGTTAAACTAAAAACATAGCTCACTTATTAAAGGTAGCTATTGATAATGGACAAGTTGATAAGTCAAAGAAATTATATCCAAAATATATGATGAGTTATCCATGGATATTTCATCAAACTAAACATGTATGGGAAAAAAGCTGATCTTTCCTGTTGACCTGTTATTCTTCCCTGTTCATGTGACAAAGTATTGTTCTTCATGTCCAATTTAAATGCCGTGCACAACCTGGAAACCTATGAATTATATCAATTTATCTTTCCCATTAACTTTTTACATTCAATCATTACTAAATATTAACTGTACCTATTTTCTGTCTCTGCTTTATTTTATCATTCCTTTGACCTAGTCAAACATGGGCTCTTAACAGATGAGGAGGCGGGTGGGGTCGGGGGAGGGGGAGAAAACACTACCAATTATTGTTGCTATTTCTTAAATAAATAAGATTTTTTAAAACAAAACAAATAAATAACATATAGGCCTAGAAAAAGACCACATTTTAAATTAAATAAATTGAGCTTCCTGATTTTTTAATTTCAACTTCATAATGGACTGATGCTAGTCCAAGGAAAATTCTACCCACTTTTAAAAAACTTAACTCCTCATTATACACTTCAAGTGTCTGGCACATATTATGCAATAATAATAATTATAAGCTCCTACTGGGTGCTGGCACCTAGTAAGCACTGAATAAAGTATAGCAAATAATAAAAATTGCAATGATAACAACCTCTTAGATCAGTGGCTCTCTACCTTCCTAATGCTGCGACCCTTTAATACAGTTCCTCATGTTGTGGTGACCCCCAACCATAAAATTATTTTCGTTGCTACTTTATAACTGTAATTTTGCTACTGTTTGAATCGTAACGTAAATATCTGTGCTTTTCGATGGTCTTAGGTAACCTTGCTAGCAGTTCTCAACTTGTGGGTCATAACCACAGTTTGAGAAATGCTGCTGTAATGACTATATAAATGAATTTCTTTTCAGACAATATTGCCCCATATTTTTAAAATTACCTAAAATTACTTTTTAAATAATTCTGAATATTGAAATATTTTTAAAAAATTAAGAAAAAAATAATACCTGCAATTTACACTTTTTTTTTTCAGTGCTTTTCCATTATCAAAATTTCCATATTCTTACTTTATCTATGGTAGGACCACCAAGAATAATTCACTATTAGAAGTCTTACCAAAACTTTTGCTACTTTCAGAAGACTTTTTAGCTCTCCTTTCTTCTTTATATTCAGACATTACTTGTTGATTGCTGTGTATAAAAAAAAAGATGATAAATAATATTACTATCTTAATACTTAAATAAAAATATTTTCCAAGTATATTATATTCTTAGGATATTTCAAGTAATATCAATGTTAATATTAAAACTTTAATTATACCATACACTTCAAACTTGTTAAATTCTATAAACTTTTTATTAAGCATGTAATTTTTAAAAAGTAACGTGAAACAGTCATGATTTGACCTGGTCGTCCCATGCAGCCTGTTTGGTCGTCCATTTGGTTGCGACGGTTGTTCAGGGTTTTATATAGATTACCTCATGAAGTCCGAAAACAAACGGTCATCCTATCTTTGTAACAAATGCAGAAAACCAAAAGAAACCAGGACTTGGCCTGGACTACTACTATCCCTTCTCTACGTACTCCAACTGTGAACCTGCAGATCCTTATGAGAATGATGCTTAACCTCCCTGTCCACCCCCAATTGGCTTGGATGATATCATCCTACACATAGATACTGATGAGTCATGGATGGGACCTTAGCAATTCTAAGGATCAATAACTTTTGATTCAAAACTTTCTGTTGACTGGCTTCCATGTGAGGCACAATTTAAAATATTTTGAAACCTGAGGTAAATTCAATTTACTTGGGAAAGTTTCATTGTTATGGCAAAGAGATCACTTGAGGGGCCAAGCTCAATTATGGAATCTCAGGCAAGTTGGTGCCTACTACTCTGGAAAGGCATTATGGGATCTTCCACTATCTAAACAAAGGTGCTATAGGATATAAAGTATCTTGGGGTACAGGTCTGGTAGCAAAGGAGAAAAGAAAGTCTGCTCTTTTCCTGCAGCATTATTTGAACCTCTCTGACAACTTAGAATGGCTCCTAAAAAAACACAAACAGGAACTCAAAGGGTGACTCGTCCACAAAGGTCTGGGCTAAGAATTGAGTTCCACATAGGCTTGTGGAGGGGGAAGGCTGTGGGTGGTTAAAGCTAGGAGGCTCAGCTTCCAGAACACAGTGCTGGTGATTGGAATAGTGACTGAGCATACAAGCATCTGCAGATAAATTAATAAAAGCTGTAATTTTCAAGTGCAAATGTGAATCAACATGAAAGCTCAGGAATCTGGATCAGCAATGACAACCTGGGAGCAAAGGTCAATCATGACTACAGAAACAGTTTCAATAGCAACTCTGTAGCTACAGAATCAATGGGAACAACAGAAAGATTAGACTCTCCTTTTTTACCTCTCCATCTGACTTGTGAAAGAAGGTTGTCTTCCTTGTCTTAGGTAATTCTTTAGGTTCTTGAAAAATTCAAGGGGGAGAATATAGGAGATAGCCCCCAGAAAATACAGGTTTTTTTCTGCTAAAGTGAACACTTTAAAACATCAAATAACTAGTTAGAAAAATCAGTTATTTGTACTTCAAGCATAAGAGTTCTACATGGAACAAAATAAATAATGTTAGGATGCCTAAAAATAAAGGTCTTAAAAGTTCTGAGATAAAGAATCTGGCCCATTGCTACTTCTAACTAGTCAAGCCTTTTGCTAGGTTTCTGGCTGATGACATAAACTAACTCACTGCCATTCCCAAAATGCCTGAACCAAACTATGAAATCTCACCTGTTATGGAAAAAGTAACAGTGAAGTTATTTTAAACCTCAGTTTAGTGATTACTAGCATTTTAATGTAAACACTGACAAATTAAAACTACAACAAAAGCATATTCTTCTGAAGTCCACCCGCAGTTATCTTGAGAAAAGACATCAGTACCTTGCTGAAAAAGAAGCCTGACTATATTTCCAGATTCATCATTTACAGCAAGCATGAGTTTTATATATATAACACAGAGATCACTTTACCCTCAGGAACTTCAATTATGTTATTTAAACAGCTAATTTGATATATTTACCAAGTCAATACCCTGTCGTCTATCTAAAATTGATCATTTGTGTGCTGAAGTGCTCACCTTTGTAAATTACCTCCAAGGCTAAAATAAAGGAAAAGGAAGCCTCCTGTCTTACTTGGGTATTGCATAGTAGAAGTTGCTAATTTAAAATCCTCAAACGCATAAGGAACTATGCTAAGATCACGAATCTGAAGGTGGTGAAGATTTAAATGTAGAATTTCCTGCTTCATTCTTAGTCTGATATTTCAAAGTGAGCTAGAAGTCAGAATAGTAAAGTAATTTGGCAGGCTTAAAACAATAATCTACACTAATAAAAGAGAGACATGCTAATTGACTGTACCTTCATGATGCCTACCAGCCAATTAGGAGCATGCAAATTAACCCAACAAAGCTGGTGGGTTAATCTGCATACGCAGGTGCTCTGAGCGATCAGGGGTGGGTGTTCCAGACCACCCCATCTGCTCCAGGCCTCTGGGAAGTGTGGAAAGGTGGAAAGGCAGCTCCAGCTCAGAGCAAAGGTGGTGCCAGCAGCCAGGGGAAGGAAGGCCCATTCTTGCACCAATCTTTGTGCATCGGGTCTCTAGTGTTAATAATTATAACAATCATAGCCATACTTAAGAGTTAATGACACTGATAAGCAGCTACCAGCCACTAAATTAAATGCTAGATAACCTTATATATGATCACCCTAGAAGGATATAGTACTGTTTTCCATTTTATATGAGGGAACATATTTGATAATAAGTAATTAAATACCAATTTAAAAAAATCAAAATATACTAGAAATGAAAAAGGATAAAAACTGATGAACCCACAGTATCTGGTAGCAGTGATTCATAGTCATTAGGGATAACCTAATAACATCAGTATTCATCAAAGAAAGAAATCTAAAGCAGAGTCTTCCAAAAGACAAAATTAACTCCTATTTTGCTTAATACACATTTTTTAAGGAAAATTATATACAAAGTAAAAGTGAAAATAAAAATAAAAAAACTACAAGAGAGACTAAGTCCACTATCTCTCTCTATATATGTGTGTGTGTGTGTGTGTGTGTGTGTGTGTGTGTGTGTGTGTGTGTATTAGGCATATATATATATGCCTAATATGCAGTGTTCCCTCGGGAGTTCGACTGACTGTAAGTTCGATCACTCAATATGACATGTGCTGACCATCAGGAGGTGGCATGGAATGAAGGAAGGCTCTGGCCAGCAGCTGGCAGCCAGGGAAGGAAGGCCCAAGCTGGCAGCCACTTAGGTATCCTACCTGTGTACAAATTTCATGCACTGGGCCTCTAGTTCTATCATGAAGTAAACTAACAGAGTCCATGTAATATCTATAATAATAAAAGCATAATATGCTAATTAAACCAGACATCCTTCAGGATGAAGCCAGGGCTGCAAGGGAAGCCTGGGTCCTGGGTGCCTACCAGCAGCCAGAGGGAATCCGGTGCTAGCAGCTAGGGGAAAGAAGGCCTGCTCTTGCATGAAATTTGTGCATTGGGCCTATAATAAAATTAATAAGAAACTCCTCTATTTAATGTAAGAATATACATTACAAAAAATATACATTACAAAAAAAACATTACAAATGACATCAGTCAATATTATAAATGAAAATGAATCCTACAGAATATTGTTTTTCCAGTTGCCCAGTAGTCAGAATAATTGCTTTTCTACCTAACTGATGTGTTGTATTTCTCACTATATAAAGATATGTTAATTTCTTATTAACTTAATTTTTGACGAGTGATTGTGACCACTCTAGAACAGTATTAAGGTTTATAAAGAATGAACTGTACCTTTCCATGTGATCAATTGTGTGTATTCTTGCACCTCTATTTACTAAAAATTCCACCATATGCTCTTTATTTTCACTTTGAGCAAGAGAAAGTGGTGTGAGGTCATCCTGTAAAACAGCAAAAACAATTTATAATTTATGAAATTACATATATCCAAACTGAATTTTAAAACTTATAAAAGATCCTCTGTACTTAAACATCCTATATAATCCTATATAATAAAAGCCTAATATGCAAATTGTTCTCTTTGGCAGTCATTCAACTAGGAGTTCAACCACTCACTATGACATGCACTAACCACCAGAGGGTGGTGCGGAACATGGTGGGCATCAGCAGTGTGCTACAACCTTTTGCCAGCTACCTGGGAGTTAGGGTGATGGGGATGGAGGTGTGGTGAGAATGTGGGGTGTCCACCAAGCTCTCTCTCACTCCCCCACTACCCTCTCCCAGGATGCCAGGGCTCACGTGCTGGGAGAAGATCCTATGCTCAGGTGTTGGGCACCTGCGGGGAGCCCACCCCACACTCTTGTGGCCTCTTCTGGGTGAGCTGGACCGCAGCCGCTGGGACCACAGGAGCCAGTCTGCGAGGATGGCCAGCAGAATGTGCGCTGCCCACATGGCTTCCAAATGGCATTGCTGGGCAGCCCACAGGCCTAGGCTACACCCTGGCCCATGGCACCCAGCCACGCTCACCGCACTCTGCATGGGGCCTCAGGCACTGTGACTCAGGAGGCACATGGGAACCCAGGGTCCCAGGTGCTGTCCAGGGCTCAGAGGTCAGCTGGGACCTGCCCTTCTACACCAGATACTCGTGCTTTGATCACCAGCCAGGCCTAGGGACCACACCTGTACATGAATTTCGTGCACCAGGCCTCTAGTGTAATATAGAAAGTAAGTAAAAAGTAGCCCCTTCCTTCTCACCCCTGTGCTGTCACTGGCTGCTCCTTCCCTTTAAAATGCCCTCCACTCCCTCCTTCAAAAGATTAGCTCCAACACCATTCTCTAAAACTCACCTCAAACATTTACAGTACTGGTTCCAAGAATCTTTGTTCCTATCCCAGTATCTATCGTGCTATAGTGTCATTATTTTCTTGCTTCCCATCTAAACCTAGAGCTTCTTGGGCCTATTTTTTTTATCTCTTTGTCTCCAAACTATAAAATATAGTAGTAAATGCTTTAAGCATTTTTACTGAGTAAATAACCTAAATGATTAGCTCTAGAGTAGTGTTTCTTAAATTATGTTTCAAAGAATATATAGTTTACCAGAAATTCAGTACTTTATCCCAATAGAAAAAGGATCCAGAAAGATCATCTGTATTTAAGAAATATTATAAAACTATACACTGTATGCCTAGTACTAAAAATGTTTAACTTCACTTAATCCTGATTTGACAATAGTTTTCTGTCGCAAACATTAACATTCGAAAAATTATAGGGTTTCAGGTATATAGTTGTGAGAACTTTTCAACAAAGGTGAAGGTTTTCTCCAGGTTACACACAGTTGATACGCTTCCACCAATGCTATCAATAACCCAGATGTCAACATCAGTCACTCCTGCTCCAAAAGGATCCCTAAAAAATGGACTAAATTTACAGGCTTCAAATGAACTCTCATTGCTTATTAAAAAGTAGTCCATGGTTTCTTCTTTTATGACATGATAGCTTTTTATTTTAACTGTTAGAAAGCTCAATACGAAACTAAATTCTCAACTATGTTGATAGTCTTGGGATGTTGCAGTGAATCTTTTGAAGAAGGGAGTGGAGAGCATTTTAAAGGGAAGGAGCAGCCAGTGACAGCACAGTGGTAAGAAGGAAGGGGCGCTGAAAGTGGATAGAGCATCGGTCTGCGGACTGAAGGGTCCCAGGTTCGATTCTGGTCAAGGGCATGTACCTTGGTTGCGGGCACATCCCCGGTAGGGGATGTGCAGGAGGCAGCTGGTCGACGATTCTCTCTCATCAATGTTTCTAGCTCTCTATCCCTCTCCCTTCCTCTCTGTGAAAAAAATCAATAAAATATATTTTTTTAAAAAAAGGAAGGGGCTCTGTTTTCTATGCTCAGTAGTTCATTACTAAATCCCCTTAATCGAATGCTTTGCTTCTGTGCCGCCCCCCCCATGTTTTTATTGATTTCAGAGAAAGGAAGGGAGAGGGAGACAGAGAAACATCTATGTGAGAGCAGAACAACTCGTTTTCATATCTGCTGCTTCCTGCATGCCCCTACCAGGGGTCAAGTCACAACCCAGGCATGAGCCCTGACTGAGAATCAAACTGCCAACCCCTTGGTGTATGGAAGGATGACAAACCAACTGAGCCATACCTGCCAGAGTAGAATATAAACTTTTTTTTAAAATTGTTTTTATTCTGATTTCATTTTAATTGTACTTAAAAATATTTTATATTTAAGGCAAAATATAAATCAGAAGCAAAAATATAATGGCTTATCAATAAAAAGTTGAACACTGATCTATATAAATTATTTTTAGCACAATGAAAACTACTAAATCATTTGCATTTCTGAGGAACAATGCTGAGGAGAAAGATATACTATTGTCTAGAATATGTATACCCTATGCAACTCTAACCATAATTAACCTCATGAGACTTATAGAATTCCAATGAGAATATGATTATTTACAGGACATATAAAGGAAAAGAGTTTTTAAAAATAATAACCTACAAATTCTAACTTGAAAAATTTCATTCTTGAAGATTAATATAAAACATGTATTATAAATTAATGTAGATGATCTTGAATATCTTGAAATTCTAATGTTGAGTCAACTTATGAAGGCAAAGTAAACATATCCAGGGCCCATATTTAGTAAGGAGCCCACTTGTGTTTTTATATTTGCTATGTTTTTAAATGGTCATGCATGAAGCAAATATTTGTATGTAAAATCTTTCCTTTCATATTTATCATGTTTTATCAATATTTTTTACCCCAACATGTAATAAAAATCATTATTTAGACTGATAATAACCATTATTAAAAAATCTTGCTAATACATATTAAACTACAATCGATTTACATATATTTCTCCAAGACTGTTGATGTGGAACAAATAAATAATTAGCTCATAGAATTGCTGGAACTAAATTATTAAAGCAATTCTCATTTTTATTGTTACTAATTTCATGGTTTTTGATGTACATCTTCTTAATAATTTATTGATTTTTAGAGAAAGAGAAAAGGAGAGAAATATCAAAGTGAGTGCACAACATTCGCCAGTTGCCTCCAACACACCCCCTACAAGGATCAAGTAGGCAACCTAGGGGCATCAACCAATAGGGGCATCAGCCTAGCACCCTCTTGGTGAATGGGACAATGCACAACCAACTAAGCCACACCAGCTAGGGCATTTTTTGATGTTTTGATGTTTAAAACTGCCATCCTGATTATGCCAGGATTCTGTGAAATTAACAGACATACTGAGAATCTATCACACAGTTTCAACTAAAAAGAAGGCACAAGACTTAGGAAATTGCCGGAAAATCCTGCTTGCAGTAAACATTTGGTGATCTAAGGACTGAATGAGAAAGGATGAAAAATTCTTAAAGGGTCAGATTCTACTTATTAACAGACTCCTAATAAGCAAATTTCTATATACTCTCAGTATGCCAATAAATGATAGATGGCTGAAAGGGAAAAGGTGTTAAGTCATTAGATATCACCAATAATGTTCCCTATAACTTTTCAAGAGAAGAGGTAGAACCAGTTGAAAGTCAGGCCAATATTCCTGGAAAGGAAAGAGTTGAAGGAAGTATCACCTATCAAATTCTAACTCTTCTAGAGATTTCTTAAGTCTGTGAGGACAGTGAATTTATACATTATACTTATCCATTCAGTAGTTCTTAATCAAGAATTGTATCAGAAACTTGAGGAAATGTTTCTACATATATATTTAGATGCATATTTCTACATATACATTAGATTTACTCAATCTAAATCTTCAGGGAAGAATGGAGGCTTGTAAATTTAAGTTCTTCGGGTGGTTGTGATTCACCAGCACAATTCTAGCTGAGAACTAGTGCAGTGTACCACCACTTTAGTCTCATCTCAGCAGCATAATTTCTAATACAGTTTAAATGCTTTGCTATGTTTGAGACTTAAAGCCTATTTCTGTGGCAAATTTTGATATCCTGTGTTGTTTTATATTAATTAGAAAAAAACTCGTGAAAAAAAAAAAGTATTTTTAAAAAGAGTTTTGCCTCTGACAAATTGTGTTTTCACAAAAATTTGTTATAAGGGCATAAAAGAGAACTGTAATATCTATTGCTTCTTCAGAAATGTCATTATGTAAAGTGAAATCCTGGACAATTAAGTTATTTCAAAACATTTCAATGCAGGGAATGCTTGAGCTTCCAAATACGTAAAATTGACCCTATCTGTGTCAGCCAAGACCATACTGTCAGGGTTCCAATGGTGATATACACTGAATGGCCAGATTATTATGATCTCTAATACATATATATATATATATATATTAGAGGCCCGGTGCATGAATTCGCGCATGGGTGGTGTCCGGCCAGCCTGGCAAGAGGGAAGGTACATGGGCAGTTGGCTGGCCTGCCTGCTGGTCAAACTCCTGGTAGAGGGGACAATTTGCACATTAGCCTTTTATTATATAGGCTATACACTGAGTGGCCAGATTATTATGCGTTCAGAGATCATAGTAATCTGACCACTCAGTGTATAATGTATGTCCAGAAGAAAAAGCAGGTGAATAGCTTTGCCATCACCTGCTCTCTATGTACAACTACAACCCTGCTGAGGAGCTACATGAGGTTTACGTGAAAAATCCCAAGGTGGTATGTGGCTGGTAGAGTGGCTATAAGCATAAGTGGGTGTCCTTGCTAGATGTTAAGACATGACCTGACCCTCTTTCTTCAATCTTTAGGACCTTGAGGTCCTGGAGAGTTCAGGGACTGTGGACTGCTGCTTCCCCTTCCCACTTTCACTCCTCCAGCTCCCCTTTTTGAGTACTAGGTCTCCTCCTCCCACCTATCTCCAAGAGCACCCATTTCCTAAGCCCCTGACTGCATAAGAGCCAGCCCCCACCACTACTTCATTCTCCTAGGCCTTCAGTCCTTTGTGGGTCTGAGCCTATCATCCACCTCCAAGAACTACAGTAAGTTCTTCTGGAGTGGAAGGGAGAGAGAGCTTTGCTCCTTCCGTGGACACTACATTTCTCCAACCTTCCTTGACTGGGCTCTGGAGTAGTTAGTCTGAGGGTGTATGTTATATGAGAAAGAAAATGCTTTTGGCTAAAGTAAAAACATGTATTTCAAATATTTTAAAAATGAAGTTACCTTGTTTCTCGCTTCAATATTTGCCTTGAATGAAAGTAGCTTTTCCACTATTGCTATATTTTGACCAAGGACAGCATAGTGGAGAGCAGTATTGCCAAGGATGTCCATTATGTTTGGATCAGCACCATGGTCTAGTAGAATAGTTGCACATTCCTCTTCCTGGCATTGTACGGCCTGTCAGTATTATACCAAAAAGTGGATTATAAATTCTAGTAATTTAAAGTAAACATTTTACAAGTTTTACCAGTAACATAGTCAAATGAGATAAATTCATTTTTATCCTAAGTAATTGAATCAAATCCACCTCATGTTGACATAGTTGGCTACTACATACCTTAATCAGAGCTGTCCTGTTTTCATTATCACAGAGGTTCAGCAGGCATTTTCTGTCTACCAGGAGAGTCACCACTCCTGGATGGCCATTGGCACAGGCCAAATGTAGAGCAGTCCTAGGAAAGTGATAGGACCCTTAGGAACTTAGAGTGCACTGTCTCAAAACACATAATTATTCACGCAATTGAAGACATTACATGTTATTGCTATACCTTTAAAATATTTAATTTTCTTCTGGAGACAGTACAATATTTATTAGTTCTTATTAATGAAGGAGTGGATGACCTGGGAATTCAGCTCAATTTGTGTCTGATCCTATTTTAACTGTCATGTATTAGCTATCTATCCCTTGACCTTTCTGAACCTCAATTTCCTCATCAACATGGGGATAAAAACAGTAGTGATCCACCCGGCCGGCATGGTTCAGTAGTTGAACATCGACCTATGAATCAGGAGGTCATGGTTTGATTCCCAGTCAGGGCATATGCCCTGGTTGTGGGTTTGATCCCCAGTGTGGGGCATGTAGGAGTCAGCCAATCAATGATTCTCTCTCATCATTGATAATTCATATTCTCTCTCTCTCTCTCTCTCTCTCTCTCTCTCTCTCTCTCTCTCTCTCTCTTTCTCTTCCTACATCTCTGAAAGGAGTAAAAACAATTTTTAAAAAATAGTAGTGATCTCATAGATCACCATTGTTTGCTTAAATAAAAAGCTAAGTAATGTTTACTATAGTCCCTAGAAAAAAAATCTCAATAATTGTTAATCATATTATTATAATTATTACTATTGCTACAACTTTACAAAGACATATCAATTAAGTAAAATCATATCTACTTTACAGATGTTTTAAGAATTAAAAGTACACTGTATTTCAATGATTCTAATATGCTTACTTTTTCACATTTTAACATCTCTGACTTTGGGATGCAATTTATAATTAAGAATGTCTTACAACTATAATTGGCAGCAACTTTTTTTTTTTTTAAATTCTTATTGGTATATTGGGCATCGTATCATCCATGGTGTCTTATATTAAGTGAAATATGGTAAATACAACAGACTTTTTGCAGTTCTAGACTAATGGTTGGGATTTAAATCATTTTTAGTTCTTAACAGCATTATAGAAAAAGAGGACTAAAATATCAAAACAAGAAAATAATTTTTTAAAAGTAACTTTTGCTTTGGTCTTCAAGAAACTTATAGCCAAAGGAAATTTAGGATTCAAATGAACAGGAATGGTTCATTTTAATCAATATTTAGATTTACAGATTTATAAAAATCAGATATTTCCAATGGTCAACATTAGTATTTAATACTATGATACATTTTTAAAAAGAGCAGGTAAAGGTTATATTTTACAATTTCCTACCTTCAGAAATACTTTGGTTTGAAAGGATGAAGAAAAAGCTTCAATTAAGATTAGGTCCTAATATTTCCATTTTAAATTTCTAATTTTTATCATACTGGACAACATGCAGTTTTTAAGACTCATGTGAGACAGATTGCAAAGGTCCTAAGTAGAATATATCTGCTACACAGCTATTCAGGTTATATTTCATCAATAAATAAATTGAAAGAATGAATAAATTTAGTTGGAGAGTTCAATATTTTTAAAGAACTCTTTTAAAAGTAAAGCAATACTTAAAAAAAATATTTTATTGATTTTTTACAGAGAGCAAGGGAGAGAGATAGAGAGCTAGAAACATCAATGAGAGAGAAACACCGATCAGCTGCCTCCTGCACACCTCCTACTGTGGATGTGCCTGCAACCAAGGTACATGCCCACAACCGGAATCAAACCTAGGACTTCCCAGTCCACAGGCCGACACTCTATCCACTGAGCCAAACCAATTATGGCTAAAGCAATACTTTTGCAATAGTAATTTATAGTAATCAAAACCTAGGTGGCCCTTGCATGTGATGTCATCACAAGATGGCCACCACAAGATGGCCATGTGCACAGCGGAGATGGAGTCTGGCAGCTGATCTGAGGGGTGAGGCCTGGGTGTCTCACGGCTCCACGCAGCATTGAGGAAGTTGGTCCCCTTGTCTCTGCCACCTGGCACAGAAGAGGCAGGTCACTGCAAGGGAGGACAGTTGTGGGAAATCAGGCTGGAAGGGGAGGGCCAACAGGGGAGCAGTTAGACAGGCTGGCAGGGAAGCGGTTAGAGGGCGATCAGGCAGGCAGGCAGGTGAACAGTTAGGAGCCAGCGGTCCCAGATTGTGAGAAGGATGTAAACTGGCAGTCTGACATCCCCCAAGGGGTCTCAGATTGGAGAGGGTGCAGGCCAGGCTGAGGGACACCCCACCTCTGCCCCATGAATAAATTTCATGCACTGGGCTTCTAGCTTTTAGTAGTAACGTATTTGCTGTTTTGTTTTTTGTTGTAATAAGAATATAACTAAATTAATTTACTAGAGGCCTGGTGCACAAAATCGTGCACAGGTAGGGTTCCTAGACTTGGCCAGCAATCAAGGCTGATCTGTGGGGTGATTGGCAGGGTGATCAGGGGTCCCCCACTGGTACCCACCTTGGCCAGCCTAGCACCATCCACTTGTCACTCCTGCCTGCTGGCCCCACCACCTCCATCTGTGGGGCAACCTGGAGGGCGATCGGGGGGCTCCTGCTGACACCCGCCTTGGTCGACCTGGCGCCACCTGCTTACCGCGCCCCTTCCCCCACTGTGGGCCACCTCCCTCCATGGACAATCTGGGGGCTTCTACTGGCACCCCCCTTGGCTGGCCTGGGGCTTGTGGGCAACTCCAGCGTTGAGCACCTGGCCCCTGGTGATCAGTGAGCATCATAGCAACCAGTCATTCTGTTGGTCATTCTGCCATTCAATTTACATATTAGGCTTTTATTATATAGGATAATCACTTATATATTATACTAGAGGTCCGGTGCACAAATTCATGCACAAGTGAGGTCCCTCTGGATGGCCTGCAGGGATCTGGCTGAAATCCACAGTTCAACACTGCCTGCAGCTCCTACCTGTCACTCCCACTCATCCCAGCCCCGCGGTGCCTGCCACAGGCTTGTGCCCAATCAGTCCTAAACAGGAAAGACTCTCACTGCCACAGCAGTGCTCACCAGCCATAAGCCCTGTGCCTGACGCCCTCTCAAGTGAGTGGCCTGGAGGATCAGGTTGAAACCGGCTCTCTAACATTCTCCAAGGGGTCCCAGATTGCGAGAGGGCACAGGCCATGCTGAGGGACCCCATTGGTGCATGATCAAGCCAGGGAAGGACCACAGGACGGCTCCAGGGCATGTCTGGCCCATCTCACGCAGTCCCAATTGGCCGGATCCTAGCAGCAAGTTAACCTACCGATAGGAATAACTGGCCCTGGTGGTCAGTGCATATCATAGCAAGCTGTTGAGCAGCCTTAGCATATCATTAGCATATTACATTTTGATTGGTTGTTCAGTTGTTCTGCCATTCAGTCTATTTGCATATTACCCTTTTATTATATAGCATGTAATAAAGCTATCCCATATAACAAAAGCCTAATATGCTACCTTTTCAGTCGTCCATTTAACCAATCAAAGCGAAATATGCTAATGATATGCTAAGCCGTTCAATCACTTGCTGTGATATGCACTGACCACCAGGGGGCAGTCATCCCGACAGGTAGGTTAGCTTGGGTCTGGCTGATTGGGACTGAGCGAGGTGAGCAAGCTGGGCTGGACACAGCCTGGAGCCCTCCCGTGGTCCCTCCCTGGTTGGCCAACTTCCTACCTCCCTCCCCAACCCCGATTGTGTACGAGTAAGGTCCCTCAGCCTGGCCTGTGTCCTCTCACAATCCGGGACCCCTCAGGGGATGTCAAGGAGCCGGTTTCGACCCCATCTCACAGGCCAGGCTTAGGGACCCCACCGGAGCACAATTTCGTGCAATAGGCCTCTAGTATAAACTAAAAAAAAAACATGTGTACAATGAGATATATACATACTAGAGGCCCAGTGCATGAAATTCATGCACTTGGGAGGGGTGGTCCTCAGCCTGGCCTGTGCCCTCTCACAGTCAGGAAGCCCTCAGGGGATGTCCAACTGATGGCTTATGCTCACTCACCAGCTATGAGACTGGCTTCTGGCTGAGCAGCACTCCCCCTATGGGAGCACAATGACTACCGGCGGAAGCTCCTGCATTGAGCATCTGCCCAGGTGGTCAGTGTGTGTTATAGCAACCAGTCATCCTGCCATTAGGCTGAATCCAGCTCTCCAACATTCTCCAAGGGGTCCTAGATTGCAAGAGAGCACAGGCCAGGCTAAGGGACCCCATTGGTGCATGACTAGTGCCAGGGAGGAATGTGGGAGGTTTGCCAGCGAGGGAGTTGCTGCGGAAGGAGTCCGGTCTGTCTTGCTCAGTCCCAATCAGCTGGATCCCAGAAGCAAGCTAACCTACTGCTTGGAGCATCTGCCCCCTGGTGGTCAGTGCATGCTATAGCAACAGTCAACCAGTCGACTGTCTGCCTCCTGGTGATCAATCATGTCCTAGCGAGCAGTTGAGAGGCCTTATCATATCATTAGCATATTACACTTTGATTGGTTGAATGGCCAACTAGATGACCGGACACTTAGCATATTAGGCTTTTATTATATAGGATACTATACAAACACAGATAAAAAGATTCCTTTTACTTCTGAAGAGGTTAAAAGTTGTCAGAAGGTGCTGAAACCAGTTTGGCTCAGTGGTAGAGCATCAGTCTGCGGACTGAAAGGTCCCAGGTTCGAATCTGGTCAGGGGCATGTACGTTGGTTGCAGGCACATCCCCAATAGGGGGTGTGCAAGAGGCAGCTGGTCAATGTTTCTCTCTCTCATCAACGTTTCTAGCTCTCTATCTCTCTCCCTTCCTCTCTGTAAAAAAAATCAATATATTAAAAAAAAAAAAGTTGGTGCCAATCCTCAAAAACATTTTTTTTAAAAAGTGAGGAATGATTTTTTATCCGAGTAAGATTCATATCCCTGCTCTTCCCCAGGATTATTTCAAGCATAATATACTTTTACTATAATTTCTATACTTGTTCATTGTAAAAATCAGATTTTTAAAACTGGAAATGTTCAGTTATAATACAAACTAGAGGCCCGATGCATGAATTTGTGCATGGGTGGGGTCCAGCCGGCCTACCCCGATTGGGGGCAATTGGGCCAGGCCAACCAGGGAGAGGGGCCTCAGGCAGTTGGCTGGCTGGCCAGTCCCCCAATCAGAAGGAGGGGGGGCCAGCCAGGTGGAAGAGCTGTGGGCAGTTGGCCAAAGGCCCCGCCCCAGTTGAACTCCTGGTCAAATTCCAGTAGAGGAGACAATTTGCATATTAGCCTTTCATTATATAAAGATGTTCAGGAATAAATTTTATCACATTTTACAAACTTTTTTTGGCTAATATAAGATCACAGTCTCTGTGTATGGCTAATCCAACTGTTTTTTGTCTCCGTTTCTGATTTACCAAAGTACATCTTTGCATGACAACATATACCTCTCATCTATACCACCTTCTATGGTCATATATTATGTCATCCTATAGATATACTGTAATTTTAAATAAAATCCATTTATATGAGTTCTTAATACACTGCTATTATGAGCAGTGCTGAGAAAACCAAATTTTATGTAATTTAGCTAATCTATAATAATAAAAACATAATATACTAAATAGAGTAGACGTCTTTCCCGACTAAGCTGGGGCTGCAGCCCCCATGGCTGTGAGGGAGGGATCCAGGCAGCCACCTGTGGCTGCAAAGGCCTACTCTTGCACGAATTTCATACATTGGGCCTCTAGTTATTTGATAAAGATATTTTAGTATAAATATAATTAATGGGAAAAGTAATATATAAATTTTTAAATGTGGTACTAATAAACAAGTTGTACATTTGAGAAGTCAAAAGCAACTTAAGCTTTAAGCAGCAGTATAAGCACCATTGCTGGGCATCTTCATAAACTTTATGGATGAAAAATGGTATTTCACTCCTTTTTTTTTTACCAGTGACAATAAATATTTTGTCCAATGTCTATCATTCCCTTGTACATATGCTAAAATTGCTTTGATCGATTTCAATTTAGAGTTTTTTCTTATTGATTTCAAAGTCTCCTCTGTAAAATATAGACTTTTTCTCCAATATGCATACATAGTAAATATTTTGCAAGTATAATACATTTTCTTAATATTACTTTCTGATAGAGGGTTTTAATTTTTTACATTGCTCAACATCCTATTTTTCTTGCTTTTAAAGTCTCTGTCATCTTAAAATATATATATAGACATTTGTTTTCTTCTGATAATTTTCATATTTTGTATTTTTGAAATTTTAAATCTATATTCCATCTGGAACTTATTTTTCTGAAATAAAATCTAGCTAGTTTTCTCCAAAAACGAAACAATTATGTCTCAACCATTTATGAGTAATTCATCTTTTCCTACAAACATGAAATGTCACCAATATGAAGTTCTAAAGTATTACATAAATTTGGGTGTTTAGACATTTCTAATCTGTTCTAATAGTTTCTGTCTTTTCAACTATTTTTTAAAATATATTTTATTGATTTTTTACAGAGAGGAAAGGAGAGATAGAGAGCTAAACACATTGATGAGAGGGAAACATCGACCAGCTGCCTCTTGCACACCCCCTCCTGGGGATGTGCCTGCAGCCAATGTATTATACTTGCCCTTAACCGGAATCAAACCTGGGACCTTTCAGTCCGCAGGCCGATGCTCTATCCACTGAGCCAAACCGGTTTCGGCTGTCTTTTCAACTATTGATAGACAAATAACTTGTGGAAATTTATAGCACATGTTGATATCTAGAAGGGCAAAAGTTTACAAGTACACAATAACTTTCTTAATTTCATCACAACAATAAAGACAGCCACGTGCAACTCAAAATTTTAAAACCATATTTTATTGTTTACGTAAAATTAATAAATATAGAAAGAGCACACATTTTGAGAAAATGAATCTTCCTATTCAAGACCACAACTATCTTTTTCACTTCAAAGTTCCCTTTGGAGTTCCCACAATAAAGAACATAGGTTTACACTGATTTGTATTTGTTACTGGATTATATCTGAGGAGTTTTTAGGCCAAAAGTTGATCTATAATAGTATGGGAATTACTTCTCTCATTATGCACTTGGCTATGATATACAGCATTATGACATAAAGATGTGATATCAAATATATAATGCTAAATATACTTAATTTCGTTTCTATTATTGCTATCTAAATCACTTAAAAATGTCAGTAAGTGCTCTGTAAGCGGAATGAGGAGGGGGTCCTTGAGTTTTTGCTTTTGCTGCTCAGAAAGTCGGCCTGGGCGCTGGACCCCAGGTAAGGTGTCCACCACCAACCTGCCCCGGCGCGGAGGGAGACAGCCCAGCGCGGGGGGACAGGCCGGCTGCGCCCACCTGCTGGGCCCAGGTCCGCCCGCCTCGTCCCGGTGGCCCTGTTACCTGTTCATCTTGTCTCTATCATTCAAGCCATTTATCCGGAGCAGCAGAATCTGCTTCACTTTGGCTGCGCTGCCCGCGCTGGCCGCTCTGTGGATCTTGCCCAGGTCCCGGTCCTGGAGGTGGTACCCGGGCTGCGAGGGGCCTCTGCCCCCGCCCGTCAGCCTCTCTCCCCGGCTCCGCCCGGGGCTGGAGGCCGCGGCCAAGGGCGACACGCCCTTCCTGCTCCCAAAGCCAAAAATCTTCTTCATGGCAGAGCGCCTGGTGGCTCCGGAGGAGCCTCACCTTCCCGTCAGCGCGGCGCGCCGCCTCGGAGCCCAGCCCTCAGGCCGCGGAGACGTGCGCGGCCTCAGGGCGCAGCATCAGCGGAGGCGCCGCGGTTTGAAATCTCAGCTGCAATGATTGCAACCCAGCAGAGCCTTCTGCACACCACTGCGCGTGCGCGCCCCGAGCCGACGTCACTGCGCCTGCGCCCCGAGTCCCTGCGGCCGGAGATACCCAGCGCGCATGTGCGAGGTGCAGACTTCCAGCATCTCAGGGATTGCTTCTGGGCACCATTCTAACAGTGATGGGAATTGGCCGAATCTTGTGAAACATTTGCAAAGGTTAGAATCACTCCAGTGGAAAAGGGAGTCTTTACCCACTGGGGGCTACGGGCAATCACTCCTCGAAGTCAGAGGCTCAGAGAGAAAACGCGGGCTGAGGGTGAAGTGCATGTTTGTTTTTCATTTTAGCAGGTGCTCTCAAAGTTCCTCCCCCAGAGTCCAGACCTTTTGCGTTTAGACTCACAGGAATATGTGATAAGATGCCCTGGAAGACTAGACACTAAGGCGATATTTTTAAAAGAGGGAACTTCTGTTTAAAAGTTCCTAGAAATATTCTCTCTGGAAATTGAAGCTCTAACTTGGGGCGCTCTGTTTCATTGTAAAGTGAGTGTGTTATCAGGCCACCAACGCAGATGTCCAGACATGTCATCAGACTCATAACCGTTTCATTTCTGTATCAATCCCATCTGCCCGACACCTGTAACGCGGTCAGATGAAGGCTCTCCATCTCCCTGTGTTGCTTGCTTAGTTTGGGATTCCCTTCCCCCAGGGCGGGCTGCTGGTTGTGGGGGATGCAGAGGGGCGCTGTGGGAGTGAGTGGGCAGAGGCGGGGTCTCCTGTGCTGTCCTTGACTCCCTTGGGCCCCAGCAGGGGTGCCCGCCCTCCCATCTGGCCCCTGTGGAGCTGTGCCCATCTCTGCTCCAAGGCCTTGCCAAGCCTGGCTGTTTCCCAGCTCTGGCTGACTTTTCGGGGGCAGAGCCACAGTGGCCGCACTCCTGCCAGCTGGGGTGTGGGCCTCTGCATCCGCCTGCCCACCGTTCTGCACAGCCTGCTTTGTGGCCGCTCTCACCCCTCCTGGGCGCCCTGGGAGCTTCCTCCTGAGCAAGGGGTGCAGAGCTCTCCTCTCTTCCCAGGCATTTCTGTAGGTTCTAAACCCTCATCCTCACCTGGTCCTGGCCCAGGGTGGCAAGTGGGGGGTGAGACCCACATGTAGGGGGAACATACATCCCTGGTTCGCCAGGGACAGTGCTGGTGTGGCCTGTGTTTCCAGCATAATTAGTGGTAGAACGCCCTTTCACTCTCAGCAGCTTCCAGCACATTAAACTACAGGTCCTCCTCCCACACAGAGTCCAAAATACCTGCTCCCTTTCCATCTCTGCTGCCCTCCAGCCTAGAGAATCTGCATCTCATTTCAGCTTGGGAAACCTGACTTTCATCATCACATCGTATTCTTTCCAATCTAGTAGCTTTGGCTTAAAATTAATGCCCTCTTTCAAGGCTAGGTTTTGATACTGAAAAGTCCAGACGTTTGAACCTCCTAAAAGCATTTTCTCTGCTTCTCGGATGTAATAATTTTCCCCTGAATGTACAGTGGAGGCCTCACAGTTTACTTTGGGAAAGGGCCATAGGGTAAAAGTAAATGACCAGTAATGAAAGACACATTGTATAGGGTTCTAAACACTTACCTTACCGCATCCCCCCTCCCTCTGGTAATCCTCCCCACCCTACAAAGAAAGCTGACTTCTTGTTAGAGGTGTTCTCTGCTACCACACTCCCCAGGGCATAGGAACTGGACCTAAACAGGGTTCTCTGGGGAGTCAGTCCCACTGCAGGGAACTGGCGGGGCTGCTGGGCAGGGCCATCTAGGGTGACTTTAACCACACAGGGGACAGAGGCCCGTTCTGATCATTAGCACCGCAAAGGCCCAGGAGTTAGACTCAACTCTGGGGAGAGGGAGACACTGAATGGAGTGGGATTACCCTGAAATAACTGGAATGAAGTTTTTCCAATCCAGTGGAATGGGCCCACAGAATAGAAACTAAGTAAACTTATGAAAAAAATAAAGTTACATTTTTTTGCATGTTTGAGGTATGGCCCAAGCCTCACTGATCCGGCTGCATGTAGGAGTTCATAATAATAGTATTAGTATTAATAATAAGAATCATAATCCAGTCTGCCTTCCATATCTTCGAGTTCCACATCAGCAGATTCGGCCAACCACAGATTGCAAATATGCAGCAAAAAAGTTACATTTTTGCTGATGTCTATTATGTAGACAGGCCTAGGATGATTATGTCTGTACTAAACATCTACAGACTTTTTCCCTGTCATAATTCCCTATACAATACAGTATAACAATTACTTACAGTGTATTAGACATTATAGGTAATCTAGAGATCATTGAAAGTATATGGGAGGATATATGTACATCAAACGCAAATTAGTACGCCATTTTATATAAGGTACTTGAGCATCCACGGATTTTGGTATCTGAGGTGGGTCCTGGAACCAATCCTCCTTGAATACTGAGGGACAACTGTAATATTTATTGACTGTAATATTATAAATATTATTGACTGCTTTCTATGCACCAGGCTCTGTTCTAAGGGCCTTACATGTTGTTATGCTGTAGATACTATAAGTTGACTCATTTTACAGAAAATGGAATCACAGATTACATATCTGACCTAGATCAAAGTACACATCTGCTCAATAGGCTGATGACAAATCCTAGGATGGATTTAGAGTAGGTCACTCCAGGACTTGAGAAAACTGGTGTGCAGAGATGTGGTAAACTTCTCAAAAGTCGTTGATTTAGAAGTAGTGGCCAAGATGAGACTGCATTTGAAAAAAATGCAATAGTTTCTTTTAAAAAATATATATATATATTTATTGATTTTTTTTATTTTTTTTTTTTACAGAGAGGAAGGGAGAGGAATAGAGAGCTAGAAACATTGATGAGAGAGAAACATCAACCAGCTGCCTCCTACTGAGGATGTGCCCACAACCAATGTACATGCCCTTGACCAGAATCGAATTTGGGACCTTTCAGTCCACAGGCTGACACTCTACCCACTGAGCCAAATCAGTTTCAGCTGCAATAGTTTCTGAATCTACATAGGACAGCCAGCAAAAGGAAGGGATTTCAGATTAAGAAAAGGAGAATTTAAAAGCTCTTCTGTGAATTCATGAGTGACCTGAACTTTGTCCTGGAGACAAACAGGCTTTGTAGCTTGTAGCTCAGAGCTCCACATCCTGGACCCTAGCTCTGACCACCAGGTAGAGGATCCCAGGCTGCAGGCAGACTGTCATCCCCTCAACCTGCCGTGAATTTCTGAAGCCACTGCAGACAAGTTGTGCATGGACAGAAGATTTCAGCTTACAAGACTCACAAGGCAAGCAAACTGGGCAGAGGCCATCCTACATAATAAAAGGCTAATATGCAAATCAACCCAACAGCGAAACCACTGGTCACTATGATGCACACTGACCACTAGAGGCAGACACTCAATGAAGGAGCTGCCCCCCTGGTGGTCAGTGCACTTCCCTAGGGGGAGCACCAGTCAGCTAAAAGCTGGATTCACAGCTGGCGAGAGCAGCAGCAGTGGTGGGAGACTCTCCTGCCTCCATGACAGTGCTCAGTTGGACATTCCCCAAGGCTCCAGGACTGTGAGAGGGCACAGGCCTGGCTGAGCCCTCCACCACCCCCAACCCCTGCCAAGTACACAAATTTCATGTGCTGGGCCTCTAGTGCATTATATATTTTTAAATTTTAAAACATATCTTTATCTAACATCAAGACTTATGAAATTCTTATCTTTTTTATCAAAATGCTTTCATGTGCCTTCATTTTGAACTTGTGTACATGAGAAAAAATTATTTCTTCTCCTGGTTTCCTTTCATTTTAATTAGTGTTCAGCAGAGCCAGAGGGCTCAATCCCTAGTTGGGTTATGTATAAAAGGCAACCAATTGATCAATGTTTTTCTCTCTCCTACCTCCCTTTTTCTCTCTAAGCATGTTGTCGGGTGATGATTAAAAAGTAAATACTATAACAATAAAGAATTTAAATTTAAAAAATAAATTGAAAGAGGATTTATTCATTTTTAAAAGTATGTAATTAAATTTAAATCCTTTATAAAAACCATAAAATGTAAATAGATAGATAGATAAAATGTTCAGGGGAAGTTATGTTCTAGTTAGCATATGAAATCCTATTATTAGAATAAGTACTATGTTAGCAAGCTCTACCATCCTCAGTACATTTAGGAGTTCAGTTTCTAAAACTGGTCTTTAGGAGGTTGTGATATGTGTGGTTCCTGGTTGCAAAAAATTAATTATTATCACAAACTATCATTTTATAGAAATAACTTGGAAATGTCAAGAATAAATAAATGAGTTTTCAAGACCATATTTATCCCTTTCTAAGTTCTTGAGCTAGGAATAATTTTTTCTAAGGTTCTGTGTGAACTTGGACTAGGGTAGGGACAGCACCTCTTACCAGCCTTGTATGCTCCACTTGTTTTATTTGCTCTCATGTTCGCCCTCTGCTGGCTGTTCAGAAGAAGAACATGAATGGTTAGAACTATTTTCTTTGACCCTGTGAGCTTTTTCTTGTTTTTGTTTTGAAAGCCAAAATTCCATTTGAACTCCCTAATTATAAAAATGATAAAAGAAGCCATGTACATTTTAATTGGATTAATTTGAATTACTGTGATTGGAGATGAGGTGTGGAGGTGGAGGAAAACCATCTTAACCTTTTTTTATATATGTTTTACCCGTTAGTTTTTGAAATCTAAAATTTTCTCAGGTTTGTAATAAATTTATGAACTTAGGTTGTATCATAAGTTTAAGGAGTAGACCGTACATGTATACCCTGAGGCAGGGGTTGAGGGGTGGTCCCACCTCAGTGGAGGGGTGCGGCACT